GGGAGCGCTACCTGTGGGACCCAGGGTGCTGGCCCCAGGCAGCAGGCTATTTTCTGTACTTACTTGGCACACTGTGGGCTACAAGATTGTGGTTTTATTTATCACTGTCACATAAGTGTCCACCATTTAACTTTGAACTTTAGATGGATATTCAGAAGGTAGTGAAATTTTATACCATATCTCTGATTGTCTTTTGTCATAAAAAGCATACAGTGATTTGCACATTTAATCATATAGGTAATAATTAACTTGCAATAGGGAGAAATGCCTGCATCCAGGGCAATTCACCTACTGGTCCTCTGCCTTCTATATGAAAGGAGCGAGGACATTTTCCCAACACGCGCAACCTAGCCAACCTGTGCCGGATTTAAACTGACAGCCTACAATCCTACCTTTATAAGAATGTAAGTAACTAAAAGTTAATAGTGGATTCTGTCTACCTGGACATCAACAAGGCTTTCTGCATTGTCACTCATGAAATCCTCATAGGCAACCTGAAGAAGTGTGGGTTGGATGACTGGATAGTGGGATGCATTGAAAACTGGCAGAGTGGCAGATTCCAGATGGTTGTGATTAGTGGTACAGGGTCTAGTTGGAGATCTGTCACTAGTGGTGTCCCTCAAGGTTCTATACTGGGCCCAGTGTTGTTTAACTTGTTCATCAGTGGCTTTGATGAAGGGGCAAATGCCTCCTCAGGAAGTTCACTGATGGTACAAAACTGGAAGGAGTGGCCGATACCCCAGAGGATTGTGCAGCCCTTCAGAGGCACCTCAACAGGTTGGAGAGATGGGCAGAAAAGAACCATCTGAAATTCGACAAGGGCAAATGCAGGGTCCTGCACCTGGGGAAGAATAACCCCCTGCACCACTACAGGCTGGGGTCTGATTGTAAGCAGTAAGCAGTTCTGTGTAGAGAAGGACCTGGAGGTCCTGATGGACAAAAAAAAACTGGCCTTGAGCCAGCAGTGCTCTTGTGGCCAAAAAGGCCAATGGAATTCTGAGATGCATTAGAAAGAACATTGCCAGCAGGTTGAGGGAGGTGGTCCTGCCTCTCTACTCAACCCTGGTGAGGCCACATTTGGAGTATTGTGTCCAGATCTGGGCTCCTCAGAACAAGAGAGACATGGAGCTCCCGGAGCAGGTCCAGTGGAGAGTAACTAAGTTGGTCAAGGGTCTGGAGCATGTCTCTTACAACAAAAGGCTGAGGGACCTGGGCCTGTTCAACCTTGAGAAGAAGCAACTGAGAGGGGACCTCATTAATATGTATAAATATCTGTAGGGTGGGTGGCAAGAGGATGCAGCCATGCTCTTCTCGGTTGTACCAGGCAACAGAACAAGAAGCAACAGGCAGAAACTGGTGCACAGGAAATTCCACCTAAACATGAAAAGAACTTCTTTACTGTGCAGGTGAGCGAGCACTGGAACAGGTTGCCCAGAGAGGTTGTGGAATCTCCCTCACTGGAGATATTCAGAACCATCTGGATGCGATCCTGTGCCATGTGCTCTGGGATGACCGTGCTTAGGCAGGGAGGTTTGACCAGATGACCCACTGTGGGCCCTTCCTACCTGGCCAATTCTGTGGCTCTGCAAAAAGCAAGACAGAAAAGATTGGCATTACAAACAGGCAATAAACTTGCGGAAGAGATGTAAACAATTGCTGAATTTGTATCTCTTTTCTCCTGTCCTCCTATCTGCAATTAATGATAGTTAAGAATTACATTGTATTAGTTACATTGTATTACAATGCATTCCATACATTGTCATACAATACACTCTATTGTATTACGTTATATTAATTGGCTAGTCCAGGATATGAGTCCAATAATTTGAAGGGAATATTTTGAGAAATAGCTGTAACATAAGTATTTGATTTTTTTGTTTTTAGCTGTTTTATGTGACACTATGTATGACATTTCTCTAGGGTGCATATGAAGACACAGATTCTGCTGATCTCAAATTTTATCTGTATTGAGTTTTGGGGGGTTGTTCATTTCTTCTTATGTGTTTCCTCCTGTCCCTTTTGGATGCTAACTAAACTACACTCACCAGAAGGGAAAAAACTGCTATTCCCTTACATCATCTCTGAGCTGGACATCTTTACTTACAGCTTCTGATTTCAGATGTCTGCCTATTTTCTAGCAGTGGTTCCCAGCAGCAGCTCTGTGGTTTCTGGCAACGATGCCAGGTAACTGTGTTCCGTGCTTGTGCGACCTTGTAAGGGACAGAAAGAACTCACTGCTATCTATATAAGTCACTGGAATTATATTCCCTTTTGTTATTAATGAAAGTCCATCAATAATAAACTTTGGAATCAGCTGGTGTTTCCAGCTTGACTCCAGTTTACCCTGCCAGCAGCAGATATCTGTGAACAAAAGCTTCCTCAAACCTGTTCTGAGTGCTGAGCAAATTCCTTTTCGTTTTCTGTATCCAAATTTAACCACTTGGATATTACTCTGATCTTTGTACTCTCTGCTGTACTTTGATTTTCAGACTCCATTTTCAGGTTCACTTTTCCAGGTAAGAATTCCTTTAGAAAAGCAACCTGGGATCAGGCAGAGCCATTAATGCAATTGTGAAAGATGCTCTTTACCAAAACATCAGATGATTTTTCACTGGTTTATAGCAATTTTGGTGCAGTTTATATATTATTTTTGAGAATAAGAATTGAACAAAACCTGTGACAACCTTTATTCATTGTGTTCTGATGGGTTATTTCCTTCAGATCAGATGAAAGGTTCATAGGTAGATCATAAATATTTGGTCTCTGTTCCTGAAATCAAAGGTTGCTTTTCATGAAAACAGTGAGGTGAATGTAGGAGTGGATGTAGTAGAAGTCATTCTTTAGAAAGACCAGCTGTTGAATGTCAGGAAGGACTTTTTCCAAACCCGAGTAAGTGCAATTTCTTTCACATTCTTTGATTTTTTTTTTTTTCTGTAATGTACCTTTATAACCAGTTTTGGCTATAAGCACTGCTTTTACACCCAGACAATGTGGATAATCTATTACAAATCTGTCTTATGATAATCATTTACCAATACAGGGAACATTTCTGATTTAATTTAATGAAACAGGTGAGCTGTTAAGTGAGATGGTAGCTCAACAAATAAGCTTCCTTTGCACCTAAATGGAACCATTACTGTTATTATTCAGCATGACTGTGTTGCTTGGATAAAAACACTTTAAAAAAATGAAGAAAAGAAGCCTGCAGATATTCTGAGAACCATTTGGCAAATTCACAAATGATGTGGGTTAACTATAGAGGTTATTACAAATGGAGAAAGCAGGCAGAGCTGAACCAGCCCACCAGATAAGAAAGTGTTGTGATGATCTCTATAATTCTATTTCAAACTTTGCTAAATTATTCCTTTCATTAGGTTTTTATTTATAGTCGTGATCCTTCCCCATGTTATTGCTGAACTATCAGGCTTCAATGCTGTCGCTCTTTTGCAGAAGTCAAGCACTGGGGGTTAAGAAACATCTGCCCCAAAAAACAATAATAAAAAACGCAGTAACAAATGATTGCTTCTGCATTTTCCGTATCTTTCCATATTGTAAAATGGCAAAATTCTTTATACTTCTCAGAGCACAGAAAACTATCAGGCAAGCAATTTCCCATTTGCAGTGGCTGCTGTTGCTAGTTCCCTATTGCAGTCTTCTCATGCTAGGACACACAATGTCTTTTTTCCAGGATTTTATGCTTTATGGATTTAAAGGGTAGCTCAGAACTTGACCTTTGCAAAACAGACTTGGAATTTTGGGAAGCAGGTCACCCTGCTCCACACTGCCACAGTTTGTCAGAGGTTTTAATTTTTCATTCCCTTATCTCTTTGCAGTGGGTTGACAGCAGTATTTTTTTCTGTGATGTACCATTATAACCAGTTTTGGCTATAAGCGCTGCTTTTACATCCTGACAATGCGGATAATCTATTACAAATCTGTCTTATGATAATCATTTACCAATACAGGGAACATTTCTGATTTAATTTAATGAAACACTCTCCCACCACTACAACAGGTTTCTTGGTTTTGGAGCCAGGCTGTTATCCAGACAAAACTTATAATTGTGGCAGTAGTACAAGCAAATGATGTTCGGTCACTAAAGGTGTCTGTAGCTGTGGAATCTTAAACTGACTATTTTTTTTAAAGTTATTATCTTGCATTCATAACAGCAAGGTCAGTGCTGTTGCAGATTTACTACATAAGCCAAGTGACTTCAGAAGAGTTGCTCACATGAGCTGAAATCCAGTTTATTGTATCACAGACTCTAAAGGGAAGACTCCTAGTTTCATATCTCTCTAAATATTCAGCATGGATGAGGCAGACAAGTCTGTGACAGCCTAGGGAAGAGGAATACTACTTGCTGACATCCAGCCTCGGACCTTGTTAATGTGGTTATGTATGATATGATTATGTGTCTCCATCATTACAGTGATACATATGCAAAAACTGAACTCACAAGAGGAAAGAAACAAGTTGGTTCCATTTCCTTTCTAAGAAGCTCTTTGATTTCTGTTGGAAGTACTGTAGTCTGAAAGCCAATAGGAGAATCTCAACCAGTCCTCAGAGAACATAACACACTTTCAAGTACTGGATTGGAAGTGATTTGCAGATTTCTCTTTCTAATGGGGTCTAAGGTCAATTCTCTGTCATGTGCTTCAAGCACACCCAAGAAAGTTATTGATGGCTTGCATATCGTGGTGGTCCTCATGGGAACTCTGCCCTCATGAGTGGAGATTGAGAGCAAGAAAGTAAACCTACAGCGATACGTGTCACATTTTCATCCTGAACAAGAGATGTATTTTAAAAGTGTGAATGCAAGTAAGTTAAGAATAAAGGTAGTGACATTAAAGTGCAAAGTACAAGCAGAAGGGTGTGGTATTGAATCCTATGCCTGTTGGTGCTGGATTTCCTATATACACTGGGTGTGTGACTGTTTTTTGTAGGTGGCCTGGCAGATCTCTTCATCACTCAGCACGCCACTGAGGTTTCTGACTTCCTAGATGACCATGAATACCGAATATGAAAAAGATCATATCAAAAAGCTGCAGGAGCAGCGTATGTCCATGCAAAAGAAAACCTTTACCAACTGGATTAACAATGTCTTCTCCAGGAATAATGTAGGTAGCTCCTTCAATCTGGGGATTCTTTTGGTTTGTTTTTATTTTATTTCACCCACTGTATTCTTTTTTATGTTATTTTTAACATTTGTTTTTTCTTGAATGTTGGCACTATACATATAGGCAAGCAAGGAAAGCTTTGACTAACTGGAGTCCTACGGCCTGTATCTTTTACTTCACATCTGTCTCCATTGTTCATGTTAGCAGTCTTCTCTAAAATCAAGATTCATTTTTGTAGAATGTATAAGCCTATCATAATGTGATGTCCATTGTATATTGGTGATCCTCTCAGAGGAAGCTCCTTATTTGTTTCTTTTTCCTGTTAAGTATCTGCAAATGTTTGCGTTTCCCCAAACAATGCTCAATTCTTAATTTCCTGGCCAAAAAAATAAAATTTCTGCTTTTCCTGATCAGTTCAGCTTGAGCTGCTGCTCAATAGCTCTGAAAGAGTAGCTTTAATTCTAGCAATTTCAGATATACTGCCATGCAAGTACAGACCAGTTTGTTTTCAGTAACTCTCAGACTTCCAAAAATCTTCAGAATTAGTGTGCAGGCTATTGGGTGTGCAAGATAACTCCAACATATTCCAAGTCTCCAGACTCACTGCAGATAAGCTCATTTCAAAGCACAAATGATGTAGCTGTGGCACAGTAGGGAATGGCGTCATCCAAACCAAATTCTCTTTCCTACTGACTGTAGATGATAGTCATGAAAATGGACCTTGAGGACACCAGACGGGACCAGGCCTCTTGGATCTATTCTAGGTCATCACTATTATATAGTGTTTCAGTACTAGATGGAGTTTTTCAGTGTAATGTTTTAAATTTGTGATTGGTACAATGGCAACTGCAGAGCAAAATAAACTCAAACTTATTTTTCTTAACTGGAGAAAAAAAATGCAAAACACATTTTGATTTTGTCACCTGCAGAAAGTTAGGTTTCTATGGTGTCGGAAATTACTTCTGTTTATCCATAGATAAATAATTTCTCATTTTAAAAATACCTTCAAGTTCAAAGATTAAAATATCAGTCTTAACTTCCTGCAATGTACTTGTTCATGTATCATAAAAGCATGGGGGGAAAAAGCCTGAGAGAGCTTTCCAAACCATATATGGTAAGAGACGTGCAGACACTGAGAGCTTATCTAGGTCTTCCTGGCAATGTAGTCTCAGCTTTCCAATACACACTGTAACGTGATTGGATCATACTACAGGACACTGCAGTGTTCCGAGTTATGTTGTTGACTACTTTAGCACTAAGAACGCTATTAGATTGAATTTGTTAAGCAATGTGTGACTCGTATCTTTATGAGAAGGATGATGCAACAAAGCTATTAAAACTACTGCTGAGTGACGCATAAAGCAGATATATGAAGTCTGTCTCTTTACAAGTTTAAATAGAACTGTTATTCATTTATAGAAGTGTCACAGAATATAAAAGCTTTAACTTTCTTTATTGTAATATACCATAGGCAGAATTTTAAGTTTGTTTAATATGAAAAAAACCCAAAGTTGGCAACTAAGCAGGGAGGGGGTTTGTGGAGATAATCAGTCAGATAAAGTTGTAAATTCTTGTTCCACACACAGTACAGACTTCAAGACCCTCTGAGTTGCTTTTACTTTACACTTTCAGTGTTTTCCTCTTTCCCTGGAGAAAAGATCTCCTAAACTGATTAATGTTTGGTCAGGAATTAAAAAGCACACGTCTGTTATCAGTCCTGTTTTCCCCCTAACATGTAACTATTCTCTGAATTAAAAAATATACTACTTTAGTTTTTTTTCCCTGAAGACAAAATGATTATTTACCAAAAGTCCAGAATCACAGTAAATTATTGTTAGGTGTGTGTTAATGTCACTTCTAGATGGCAAATGGCATAAGGCCAAAAGGAAACACCCAAGGCAAGTTCTTGTTCGGTCAGAGTACACACTATGTCATGTTGTATCACCTAAGCACTGGGTGACCTCACTACTGGCAGCAATGAAACACATTTTTGTAGAAGATCTTAATCTTTCACTTAGTGTTAGACTCTGGCAAAAAGTATGGAGACACCAGGTGGTAGCACAGGTCTAAGCGGGATGTGACAAACTTTGTTGAAACTATGGAGTAAAAATCAAGTCATTGAATGGGATTATCAGCTCAATTTTTAAATGAAATGCATTGCTCAGAATAAAAAAATGAAAATATTAATTCGAACTGAAATAAAAAATGTCAGCACTTCCAAAATGTTAGATTTTGCAAATGTTCTGATGTTTTTATTTTTCAAAATCTCATGCTTTTTTTCTTTATTTACTCAGTTGTGGGTTTGTGTTTTTGTTGGGTTGTTGCTGCTTTTTTTACTTCAGCCTACTTTCATAAATTCATTTCTTTTCTGAATTAAGATTCACCACTCCTTGCATATATGCACTGTCATACAGAAGACTCAGTGAAACAGCAAGAAGGTGTTATTTGTTTATTTTAGAAATAGAGGGTTCTGTGTGCCAATCATTAAGCCAGAGTCTGTATTGTCTGACTGCTCTTCACAGGTGAAGGTTGAGTTAGAGGATATTTACACAGACTTGAAAGATGGCATCTCTCTCATGAAACTCCTGGAGCTGCTCTCAGGAGAAGTTTTGCCCAAACCAAGCCGGGGAACTATGAGAGTGCATTTTTTAGAGAACAACAGCAAAGCCATCTCATTTCTGAAATCCAAGGTAAGTTAATATTGATATTAGAGATCACAACAGTTTATGGATGTTACTAAGTAAATATAATATTATGTTCATTATAGTTTCCCCCTCTAATAAACAATAAGATATTCTTTGAAGATAGGGGTCTTATTAAAAGGGAAAAAAAAACCTCATCAGATTTGAATTTCTTTATTATTTGAGTAACATCATTTATAATCAGCTAACGTCCCTCTTCTTTGGAAGAAAGGAACATTGAATTCTGTTTCTTTCCTCTCCTTAACCACCAGTTTTCAAAGCACATATAGGAACTTTAAATCTTTGAGACCACCATCCTTTTACCAGGCTTTTGCTGAAACTCATCCTTGGTGCACATGATGGCTAGGGTGTGAACATGGGAGCTTGCAGGTCTGTGGACCAATGAAGAGACATAAACATAAAACCTGTTTCCTTAAGAAAACACCTGAACACCCTTTTCAGTAACAGTTTGTTACACTGAGCACTGGACATGAGTGTTATTATGCTGAACAGATATTGGTTTATTAGCAGGTACAAGTAAAAGTGATTGGTCCTGAGAATATCGTAGATGGTGACAGAACCTTAATCCTAGGACTTATCTGGATCATCATACTTAGATTTCAGATTTCATCTATCAAACTTGATAAGGTAAAACTGTATCTTTGTCTTTTTGTCTGATCGGAGCATTTCAGAGACTTTGTAGAGTTTTGGGCCAGCAAGGACCACTTTCATAATGTTTCCTGATTGCTTTGATCATGCAGGTCTTATAATATTATCCAGTTACTCATCCAGCAATTTCTAATAGCAATTGAATCCACTTCCACTTCATAGTTTTGAAAAGAGGTTGAACACAGTAACGTGGAGATAGATAGGATATTCATGTTCTTCTACTGATTTTTAATTGACTTTTGACTTCAGAAAGTGTTTCTCCGTCAACAATTCTCTCTAGATTTGAGTTGCATGCTGCATCCTTTTCTTCTCTGAAGAAATATATGCTTTTTAAAATTATTTGACATGTACTCTAAGTACCTGAAAAATAAGAATCTATGAAGGTATCATGAAATCAAAGTTAACAGTTTCTCACATTAGACCTGAATGCATCATATTTTGTTTTTGAGTCCTATTTCACAAACTGAGCTTTGTTTTCCACCTGATTTCTGCAAACCTTAGAGAAGAGTAAATTTTAAAAGCTTTTTAACAACTGCATTTCACTTTATAATCTCTGAATTCATTCAATTTGTTTTTATTTTAGTATAAAACGTCTACTTTCATCTTAAATCTTTCTACGTTTATGTCAGATACAGTCTGCAAGTTATGACTTTGAGCAGATTTGTAAATAGGACAAAAGTAACACAAAGTGATCTTCACAAACCTAAGTGTAAACTCACTGATGCTACTTCCATATATCTTTCAAGCTGATTTCTCTTAACAGGAAGAATTTGGAGGCAGAGCTGATGTTCTGTTTGCCAACGAAGCCTTACTACTCTGGTGTCAGCATAAAACTGCCAGCTATTCCAATGTAAATGTGAAGGACTTCTCCAGAAGTTGGAGTGATGGGCTGGCTTTCAATGCACTCATACATGCTCACAGGTAAGATCTGATGGATCAGTTCAGACAATTGCTCATTGCTCTGGCACAAGTTGTTCTAGGGTATGAATTACAAGTTTTTGTCAAGAAACTGTCAAATTCTCTCTGCCCTTTCTCACTAAAGACTCTTTCTTAGATGGGTATTCTCTCTCTAAGAAAGGGAGGACCAAAAGCTCCTGCTTTGCTGTTCCTTTAGTTGGGCATAACAGTGAATTTCCAAGAGCGTCTGAACAATGCTCTTTTTCTAAAGTTACTCTTTTAGGGACTGGTTTTGTCGTATGAACTTTGTGAGCGTGTATCCCTTCTGGTTCAATTGTAACAGAGCAAGCAACTTCTCAGTCTTGTTCTTTCTCCTTTCTCTGTCCTTTTGAAGAAGTGTGAAGAAAACAGCCCAAAGCAGGAGAGAGAAACTACCTATGAGAGAACCTTGAACATTTCTTTGTCCATTAACTGTTCTGCTACTTTTTATACAGGATGCCACAGTGATATTCTTTAGCTTCCCAAGCTGGCAGTCACCTCCCTTTTCAGAACTGCCTCTCCAGTGGGCTTTGGTTTTCACGCATCACTGAAGAGGATAAATAAGTGAAGGGCAGAGATTTGCTGGGAGTGGTACTTCAATTTCATAAAGGGCAATTTTCTTTCCTTACGTAGGAAAGGGGCAATGCTCTTGAATGAAGTTCAGGGTCAAAGTAATTTCAGTGTTAATCTCGCATTCCTTAGTCTAATAAACAGTTTATAGTTTATAATTGGAAAGAATTTATAACAAACATAAATCTTTCTTCCCCTCCATGTCCTGTTCTTCTCCTTGCCCAGGCCTGATCTTATCCACTATAGCTCACTGAGGCAGGACCAGCCCATTAAAAACCTGAACAATGCCTTTGATGTTGCTGAGAAAGAATTTGGAATCAGCAAACTGCTTGATGCTGAGGATGTGGCTGTGCCCTATCCAGATGAGAGATCCATCATGACTTATGTGTCACTCTATTACCACTACTTCTCCAGACTGAAACAAGGCCAGACAGTACAGAAGCGACTTACCAAAGTAAGTGCATTGCTGTCTTCATAAGTTAAAAGTTAAAAATGTAAAGATAAATTTAAGTCGGAGATGTGGGGAGTTCTGTGCAAGCTCACCTTCAGGATCATTTGAACTGAATCAAATGGCATAGACATTTGAAAGACATTGTATCTTGAGAAGTGCCTGTAGACTCTCCAATCTCTAAGGGGGTTGCAATTATCTCACCAAAAATGAATCCCTTTTTGACCTCACAGTTTCCGCTTAAGAACTTATAAGGTTTCAAGGCAGTTTGAGGCATACAGATCTCAATCATCTTGGGATAAGATTACACAGCTAAGCAAAAGCAGACCTAGTCAACAATTTTCTTATTTCATAGGAAAGATGATCCCTGATTCTATGACACTACTTTGGATTTTTATTTCCAAGTCCTCATCCTTTCTTTCTAACTCCTGAGGTACAGAATGGAAAAAAAACAAACAACAAACAAACCCCAGACCAAACAAACTGAACAAAACCACAACAATTCAATAACACCACCACCACTAAAAACACTAAAAATGAGAGACTGCTAGCTAAATTGGCTAAATGTTTATTAATATTTTTTATTAAAATTTTATTAAATTTTGCTAAGCTATTTTTTTTTTCTTTGTTTCCATATACAATTCACCTCACATACAATACTGAGCTATATTGAAAATACTTGCATCCTATTGATAGAAAATTGAAGGAATTTTGTAGTTGTTCTACTGAAGACCACTTTCCTGAGAGAGAATTTTTCTTCTATCTCTAGAATAATCTATTCTGTTTTTGTCAAAAGTACAAAGAAATAGCCTGCAGGAAACCTACACATCCAGGATGGGTCCTCCGTGAACATCTGGATTCTGAGATCTGCCTGTGCAGTTGAGAGGGGGAATATATTTCTTAATAGGAGGCACACTAATCCAGACTAAGGCTTCCCTGGTGGTGACAAGGTGAAAAACAGTGTTTAGTCAGCTGAAAAAGTGGTCTGGGGCAAGAATTAGATCCCGTAACATGGCTCCCCTCAGCATGAAGCCTGCTAGAGTGCAAGGAGTGTCTGAAGAATGCTCTTTGTCATATGGTTTGGTGTTAAGTAGTCCTGCAAGGAGCAGGGAGTTGGACTCAATGATCCTTATAGTTTCCTTCCAATTTGAGATACTCTATGATTCTCTGTATTAGAACAGGATGTTCTCAGAAGAGAAACATTAGATGAGAACAGGACTTGGAATTCAGTCAAAGTTTGGACATCAGTGAGGAGAGTGGGCAGTAGGATCTGATTGGTCTACATGAGTCACTGGATATTGGCCAGGAGTCACTATTTATCTTTTGATAAATCTGAAATAGTCCTTGAGTCATCAAGCATGTATTAGAGGAACTATAAGGAGCAAGGAAGACATAACTTTTGTATTATGTGAAGAAACAGTTTTCTTACTGTCCTTTTTCAGTTCTTTTTGTGCTTCATTGTTTTTTCCATTTATATTTATTATTTTTTTTCTCTCTCTCCACTAACCTGCTTCTTTTTCTCTCTTTGCCTCCTTCCCTATTTTTAGCCTGTCTCTAATATTGCATTCCTGTCTTCCTGCATTTCTGATACACACAAAGGTTCAGAAGGAGAAGGAAACTGATGTTAATCTCTTCATGTCTTTAGTCCTCTCAAATAGGCAGCTCTGAATTTACTAATAGGATTGGGAGGGAAGCCTGAATGTGTCAAGGAAGCCTTTGAGTTCAGACTAAGTGTGTGACCAGGTTGGCAGAGAGAAACAGCTCTGGGAGGTAAATCTCCTTTCCCTCTCCCATGTGAGGTGACCATGCATTTGCTAGGATCTTTCAGCAAGAACTGGGTACGATGGCAGAAAATACAGAAGGGAGCCCTGATGTCACGGGCTGCTTTTCCTGCACTGAAGGTTGGTGCTATTTTACTCCTCTTACACTGTGACCCTTATTCATTGCCAAGTGCACTTTCTGGTAGGTAAAAGCAGATTATCACTTGGAAGGACTGGGTCTTTTCTCGGTGCCATCTCCCTCACTAATCTGCCTGGCTGGAGCAGGAAAACTCAGCGAAATGATAGAGGCAGACAACATCGTTCAGCGTTAAACCTGACATCTGCAGGAGGGTTACTAAGTTAGGATGAGGAAAAAAAATAATATGAAGTAAAAATACAAAGATGGAAAAAATATATAATGGAAAGAAAGGATAATTCCACTCTAATGCTTTTTATTTCATTATGGATTTCATTCTAGATGTTTGCTCCAGTATTTACCTGAACTTGAAATAAAGTTAGATCAGGCCACAGATGAAACAGATAAATGTCCTGGACTTGAAATGTTAGTATTGAGTCAGAGTTAGCATCTTTACCAGACTCTGTTGGGCCACCATACATTTTCTAATAATTTATATAAAGAGAAACAGCTCCAACAGAGAAGATTGAGAAGGGGCTGTTTGACCGCAGTCTGCTTGTGTGCATGTGGGAGAACCAGGATCTTGTCAGATGGTTTCCTAACACCCTAAACTGGTGAAGCTAAGAGGGTGTAATTGCATATTAGGACAGAATTGGTTTAGGTTTAGCAACAAGACTGGGGGGAAAAAAATCTGGTTTTTTTATTGCGAAACAAAAAATGTGAACCCTCAGTTTGGGATTCTTACTTTCTAGTCAGCCCACTTAGGAATCGCTGACAGTCTCCACTTACATGCTGTTTAGTCCAAAACTAATGTTTGCTTGAATAGAAACTGAAATGAGACATTAAATAATATTTATTTATCTGCATTTCATGGAAGGCTAGTCTAGGATTTCACCTGGCCTCAGATGTGACAGCTACCACCAGACCTGTATAAAAATGTGATGACTGCTGAAGATGCTGCTTTCTGTTCACCCACCTTGCTTCATTGTGTTTCTTATGTGGCTTGTAACTTTATATTCCCATCACAGATTGTGTTCTTCCTGAAGGAGATAGATGACTTGAAGCTTCTGTATGAGCAGATGGTCTCTGACCTCCTGAAATGGATTAAGCAGAAGGTGATGGAACTGGATGACCGTCATTTCCCCAACTCTCTTCAGGAAATGTGGCTGCTCATGGCCAACTTCAAAACCTTCCGCACTGTGGAGAAACCCCCCAAATATCAAGAGAAGGGCATGATTGAAGCTCATCTCTTCAACATCAGGACCAAACAGAGAGCCAGCAACCAACGGCCATACTTGCCCCCAGAGGGGAAGATGCTGCAGGATGTGGAAAAGCATTGGATCATACTGGAAAAGTCAGAGCACAACCGGGGAAAAGCACTGCAAAAGGAGATGCTTAGGCTAGAAAGGCTGGAACAGTTAGCGCAGAGGTTCCTGAAGAAGGCAGCCCTGCGTGAGTCCTACTTAGAAGACATGAGGAAAGTTATTGGGAAGCAGGACTTCTGGCCAGAGAGTGTGGACAGGATGGAGGCTGCCAGTAAGAAGCTGGAAGCCATTGTGGCAGATGTACTGCCCAGGAAGGAACGCTTCACAGCTTTGGATGAAATGGCCACTGTTATTAGCCAAGAGAACTTTCACAGCAAAGATCAAATCTTGAAGAAGTGAGTGACGGTCATGAGACTGTGTGTTGATGGAGGTCAAAATTAGCTGAAATTCTGTGGTGTCATGGAAGAAAATTATTTGTAGTTATAAATCTTTGCTCTGCTCCTTATGAGTAGAACTGGCAGGAATTTCTTCTATTTGTGAATAGTTTCAGCAGATAAGGCAAATGTTTCATCTCCTTCAAAATTCTAATTTTTGCCTTGAATGATCAAACTCTCAGACTGATTTAGGGTGAAAAATAATTTTAAGATTTTTTTTTATATGAAAATATATCTAAAAATTTCAATCAAATATTCTATCTTCCATCAAAAACGCTTAGATACTTTTTTTTTCCCCATATCAACACATTTCTTTTTCATTCTGTAGTTTGCGGAAATACAAATTGATTAAGGCACAAAGTCTTCTCAGGTTGACTCCACTTTGGAGCAAATATTGAGACATTATAACTTCTCCGATTATCTTGGGTTATTATATAGCCTGATTTGTGAATGTCTAAGAATGCCATACAAATGACTTATTTTTTGGTATTTCAATGCTTTTCTAAGTTCAGACAAAATCAGAAACCTATGGGAAAACTAAGAAAAACAGTTATAAAAGAGGAATTTGAACTCTTTATGGGATCAGATTGTAACATGGTATGGTTTAGATTAATATTTTACTTTAAGCAGCCATTTAAACACCACTTCTTTTTTTCCAAGCCTTTCCACTGTATGAAATGAAAGCAATGAGGAATGTCAGGTATGAACATCCATAAAAAAAACTTCTAAATTTTAAGAAGTCTATCACAATTGATGCGCTAGTCAAAATACCTGTAACAACAATGCTTTGACCTGTTTTCTGATCATGACCTGTTCTCTTACACTAGTGTGAAAAGTTGTGCATGTTCATTTAGCTCCTCTAAAGCTACAAACACTGAGAATCCTTCAGTGCTGTCCAGAGCCTTTGGTCCAAATCGATCATTTCTTTCTCTTCCTTTGTAGGCAAAAAACCATTTCAAAGCAATGGCAGGATCTCCTGGATCAGCTGCAGAGACGAGAACAATCCCTGGGTACAATGCAGGAAATTCTTGGCCTTCTAAGGGACATTGATGCCATTACAGAGGAGCTGAAAGAGCTGCAGGTACTGAACCCTCTCCACCAGCACACAGCTTGCACTGCTGCCAGTGTCCCTGGAAAAACTACCTTGATCCAGGGACTGGGTGGTGCCAAGAGGAGATAAGTCCATCAGCTATGTAAAAATGCACAATTTTTACTTAGATGCCTAACTGTGCATTTCAGTTCATCATCACAGAAAAAAATAGGCTTTGCTATAGGGGCTCTCTCTAATCAGAAAGCCAGGCATGGTATTACAGGGAGTGCACTACAGGGTCAAGTTATATAGTAAAATAAAGACGGGAAATAATCTTATCTAAATTTAGAAATGTAGAAGGAAAAGTGGAATAAAATGGCCTTCTGTTTCCATTTCACATAATTCTTCTGAAGTAGCTTCTGGAAGTACCTCCAACGTTTATACAGATGAGAACTAGCTCAGTCTTTCAGGTTTATAAGCTTGTGAGAAAGAAAAGTTCCACTGTAAATGCACAGTTTGCTTTTAGCAAGAATTTCCAGTTGTTACAGGACTGACAGAGCACAAAGTCTTCTCTTTAGCATGAATAATAACCAGGATCATTTTGATTTTGTAATGGCAGGGAGTATATATCCATTCTTTGTTCTTGAAGACAGAAAAATCCTTATGACTACAGGTTACCTTGTGCCCGAGTTGAAAGAGCCAGCATGCTATATGAAGTTTTGAATTTTAAATTAAAGATAAGAGCTGTCTCCAAATTATAAATCTTTCTCTCCTAGTGTTAGTAAGCAAAGAACACCTAATGGTAATAGCGTTGCTGGAACCATGATAGCCTGAGGATGTGGGAGAAGATTGATAAGGAAAGATAGTATCCTACAATAGGATTGATAATTGTATCTGTTGATACAGTTAGAAGGAGAATTGACTTGTAAGCACTTGGTACCTTCATCAGCCACCAATGAAATACTGTGAAGTACTTATTTTCATTATTTAGATAGGCAATTAGGTTCCTCAAATAAAAGAACACAGCAGTTAGAACATACCATAAAATGGGATATTGTAAAATTCTCAAAATACAGATTGTAAATCAATCTGTCTACAGATGGGTTTATAGGAAAGGGATATTCATCACTCCCACAAATTCTGAGACCTTGAGTCCTTAATCAATAGTAGTAAATTAGGTACTAAAACAGATGTTTATTTGAAGAGAACATTACTTGCACTGCATTAGATAGAAATTATGAATTGTTGCCATTAGCTTGTGAAATTGAAAAAAAAGTATAATTCCTCTAAATAGGCAGCTTTTTAGCTTTGCCTAGCTGGTATTCTCAGACGCTTAGAAGCTATGAGAGTCAACACGAATCTTTCAACTGATCTGTTTGTACTAAGCCCCTGGATGCACTCTTGACCAATACCTTTTTTTTTCTCTCACTTTGTTTGTAGGTCCTAGTGAATTCCCAGGATTGTGGTAAGCAGCTCCTGGAAGTAGTAGATTTGCTTCAGAATCACAGCTTGATTGACTCACAGATCTCTTCCTATGGTGGTAGATTGACACATATCACCCAGAGGACAACAGAAATCAGCAAGGACAGCACAGTTAAACCAGAACTGCTTTATGCAAAAGTTCAGATGCTTCATCAGCTGTATCAAAACCTTACAACTCTGAGCAAATCACGGTAGGGCTATGCTTATATCTCTGTTCTTCCTGATTAGGATGGCCAATCACTTCTTTAATCAGAGGGCACAGCTTCCCAGCATTTGAATTTTTTTCATTTCTCCATTTATAAAGTCAGAACAAAAGCAACTTGAGTGTCTTGATTGCAATTGACTGAAAGGATCACTCACTTTCACAGATGAAGAATAACTTCATTCTCAGCATTTATTAAAACTTGTTTTATGAGAAGTCTGATTAGCAAGCAGTTATTTCATCTAGAGAAAGAAGGAAATGTAATTTTGTTTCTCTTGTCTTATTCCATGAATAAATTAATATATGAAAAAGAGGAACTAAAAGCATTCAAATTTTTGATTTTTAAATTCTTCTTTGATTATGCTACCACTGTCTCCATGGAATCCTACTTCTGACTGACATACACTGTTTGTTTCCTTGGTTTAGAAAATCTCAGCTAGAAGAGGCTTTGAAGCTCTTTGAATTCTTCCGTGACTGCAAAGAGGAGGAATCGTGGGTCTCTGAGAAATGGAAGCTAGCAAGAACTACAACATTAGGGAAAGATGTCAGCCAGATTACAGCCTCTATTCAGAAGAACAAGGTATCTTACTTTGCTGGTGGTGCCTTGTCTTTGTATTAAAGCAAGACTTTAGAACATCAGTGTCTTTCAGTTCAGTCAGTTACACTTCAGTTCACTTAAAAAAAGCTGTCAAACTGCTACTTCTCTCAAGTGTAATGACCAGTGTTTGGAATTTTTAAAAAATGTATAGTGTAAGGATTTTTTCCCCAAAAGGGGAAGGAAATGGTAGAGAAAGAGTATGCCTCCTACTGGACTTAGAAGTGGGGCTTCTAGTGAAGACACTGAGCTTCATATTAGCTAACTTTTGATGGGCAGAAAACAAAAGATTGCTAATTTTTGTTTTTCTCACCCTCCTTTCCTGGCCAAGAATGATGTGGGGAAAGAGAGAGATGGTGAAAAGAAGACAGGTATCAGTAGGCAGAACAAATAATATTGTATGACCTTACAAATCTGTTGCCACAGACCTTGCTGTGGCTTAATATCAAAAGTTTAGCTATATGAGCTAGTGCCTTCTTATGGTAAAGAATCACTGTGAACAAGTGAAGAGACCTGGGGGCTTGAGAACTTTCATATGATAACAGAAACAGGAGCCTCTTCTGTTATTTTAATATACATTTGTGTGCATCTGTTTGTGTATTTGTTCCTTCTGGAAAGCATGAGACAGCTGAATTGGTGGATGACAAGTATCTCATTCAGAGAAGACTGCATAACAAGCTTCAGATCAAAGGCTAGAAGTAGAACAATGTGGGGAGCAGAGGGGCAATCATCTCAGAGAGCTAAGGGAAATATCTTAGGCATGAATAAGACATGGGGCTCTAGGAAATGTATGCATTACAGTAGCAGAGTAGGACCCCCTCTTTTCTCTCACTGGTGGGGAATGAGTTATGCTGACATGTTTCCCATCCTTGTGCTAGGCTCTTGAAGCAGAGTGCAATTCCCACAGAGCCATATGTGCGAATGTGATGAGGAGGGGCTGGGAGCTCAGCCAAAAGAACCCCGCTCGCCAGGATGACATTCTGAGGCAGACAGACAACCTCCAGAAGCTGTGGCAGCAGCTCCAAAATGAGGTGGCTGATCGCAAAAGCCGCCTGCAGGCAGCAGCTCTCATCAAACAGGTAAGAGGGCTCTGCTGTGATGTGTGTATGGGGGACATGGATGTGGCTCAGTTCTGCCCAATGCCTCCACATGGAAGGCATGGCAGGAAAGCCTTCAGATGTTGGTCTTCAACAGGATCTGTGGCAGTGAAGTCTCAATCCTCTTGCAAGCATGCTAGGCAGGAGATTTGAGCAGCTAGGAGGTGCTCTAAAGGTGAAAATGCTAGTGGAAATAACTCACATGATAGTGCTGATGCAGAGTCTTTTTAGAGAATGGCATTGGGGTAGCTGTGTGACATTTTCCTCACATAAAAAAAAGAACTCCAAAAACCAACAACAAAAGTAACATGTTGTGAAATTTAGGTTGACCATGAACTTCACAAAGCCTGCCAAATGTTTGACACTGCCATTCTGACTATGATTTTACTCCTGCAAGCACTCAAATATCTGCAAATAAATAACTCTTAAAAAGCAGCATTCTTAAATCACATCACATTATCTCAGGTCCCCTTTTTTCTTCTCCCAATCTCCCTTTTTAAGTTTTTTGTTCAGTCTGTTGTTTCCATGAAATGCTTGAACAAAACTGAACATCTTTGTCCTTGAGAAAGTCTAAATTCTCTCTTCCATTTAGTAAGTTTAACACCACTATGGTGCTTTAGTTCTTCTTTATTTGTTCTTCACTACTGTGGATTTTGTTTTTTTTTTCTGTTGTACCTTTATTCTATGTCTCAAAAGCTTGTTATCATTTTTTACAACCATAGCCAGGCAGACTGCAAATTCTGGAAAAAAGAAGTAAACTTCTGTTGTAGACTAAGTTCATTGTTTGTTCCTTAAACATTTAGAAAATATCTGTTGGAATTACATAGTACCTACTAACATCATACATTGTGGGTTTCTTTTACTGCCACTATTATGCACCATGAAATTTTAGCTAATTAGGAGCTTTTAAAGAGCTATATAGGCAATCTTTGAATCTCTTTACTCACTGTGATTCTGTGAATTATCTGTGATACAAACATGAAATACATCATGGATTTAGAGCTACCTTACTCATAGCTTTTGTGACACGAGGTTGTAACCTTATGGCTACAAACTTAATGGAATTTCTCCTTATTCATAATTTTATAAAGAAGAAGCAGCTGGATACGATACTTTCAGGATGAATCCAAATGTTTTCTTCCCTGTGTTTAGTACTTTGCTGACATCGATGAAGCAAATTCATGGTTGCGAGAAAGGCAGCCCCTTCTAGCCAGCAAGGACTATGGAAAAGATGAATCGAGTGCAGAAGCACTGTTGCATCGTCACTTGCGCCTGGAGAAGGAGATTGCAGCCTATTCCTCTGAGATGACACGCCTGAAACAGCAGGCTGACATTGCAGCACAGCAAGCTCCAGCTGCCGTAAGTACATGAGGGATTGTGTCACATTTTGTTGAAAAATGTAAATGAAATGTTTTTTAATTACATAAGATATTTTGATTTTGATAACATAAAATATTCCAAATTAAGTTTTTAATTAGAATTGAGGCAAATTTTTAGGTAACAAAGAGGTTCCTTGGCCGCTTGTAGCACACCTAGTTAGTGTTCTCTGAAGTGCTAGAAATACTCTCATCCTATTAGTTCCCTCTACCCATCCTCAGAAATACTTTCTCAGTCTTTATTCTCATAATTATTAATTTCAGTCATCTTTAAAGAGCAGACACTTAATCAAAACATCTTTACAAATTCTTTTTGTACCCTGATGAACCATCCCACAACTCCAGAAGCAGCTCATACAATCCAGGGCAGATGTTAAGGCATATGGGATGAAGTCAACTTTTGCAGATGCCCCTCTTTTTCACTGACTAGAAAGGGAACTTCTGACTTGAAATTGGTTCACTTAATAACAGAATTCAGAAGAGATGAATGACACATTTCATAGCGTGCTTCTCTTAGACTTGTATGTTTACTCAATGTTTAGCCAAACAAATATGAGAGCTATGAGCACTTCCCTTTACTCCATCAATCCAGCATTAATTTTTATTAGAATAAAAATTTTATTGCTTTGTTATTAAACATGAAAAAGCGTGTGACAAGATGGTATCCTTATACAAATAGAAGTATTGATTCACTAGGGCACTCACAGGCTTTGAAACTGGAAATATTCAGGTACTAAAATATCACCACAAATAGGACTGTGAGCATAGTCAATTGCCTTGCTTTGGAAACTTATAAAAAATCTAAAAAAACCCCCTACAACAAAACAACTTTTATCTGGGTCCAAAATGAGAATTTTTACTCAATCAATATATTTTTAAATGATTTAAACTTCTTTAAACAAAACCAAATTTTTTTTCTGTTGTTTGGTTCATTCTTTCAGAATAAAACAATGGAAACAAATTCAAAGAAATACTTGAAATGTTTGGTTTAAAGGGTCAGAATGCTGTGATTTGAACTAGCAAGTCCAAATTTCCCTTCTGTGTGAAATTTTTATCCAAATCAGAAATATTCATTCATTGATTTAGTTAAATTTTTCTTAACAGGTGATGAAGAGGGAAGCCCCAAGTGACTTAAATCAAAAGACAACTAAGCTACCATTCAGTCGAACCTGGGAAACATCTGAAACTGCATCCACTGGAACCTTAAGTCCAGATGTTCATTTTCTTTCAGAGAACATCTGGAAAACCCAAGACGAAATAGATTCACTTTATAAAAATCTACAGAACATGGCTGAGGTATAGTGTCCCCTTCTACTTTGCATTTCACAAAAAAAAGTCAAATCCAAGGTAATGCAAATAAAAATTAAGTGCTGTGCTGGCTTCTGCTTTCAGTTTAATAATGTGCCTCAACCCTGTTAGTTCCTGCAGGCCTTCAAGGCTCAAGATTAGCATTAAAGTTTTGTACCAAACCCATTTTATGCTGGCAAACTTCCCATTTACATTCTAGTATTTTTATTTTATGAAAAGTAGATTCTTTTCTGTAATCTTCCCCCCCCCCCCCCCATAATTGTTGCTTACTGTAGCTCCTAAATATTCAGGCTGTCTGGCCTGGTACCAGAAAAAATAAACAACTGTAACTTGCATTCTCAATATGCTATTTTGCATTCTCACCTAGTGTAATCATGCCGTAAAGACCAACAAAAACATGTTGTGACTATGTGACATACCTGTTCCTGAGACTACTGAGTTAAGTCTTCGGTCAGCAGCAGCAAGTAGCACAGTGGCCTTCCTGCCTGTCAGGGGCTGAGTACTCTCCAACTGCTTCTCTTATGCTTTTAAACTACTGTTGCTCTGGGAAGAAGTATCGTGATCTTGAAGTATCACCTTTCTGTTCTCTTTCAGCGGTGTCTGGGAAAATTACTGAGTATCACCTGTGTATTGTAGCTTAAATGCAAGGATTTTTTTTTTTGTTTGTTTCTTCAAATGGCAGGGAGTCATTACAAAAATACTTAAGTCTTCATCTGTTTTACAGAACAGAAAAAAGGCTCTGGAGGAGATGATTGGCTATTACCGCTTCTGTAGCTCTTGCGAAGAATTTCAGTCATGGATGAAAGATAAAGAGAACATTTTCCGGACTCTTCAGCCTCAAGCAGACAATGTGGAGGTCATGCAGCAGAAATATCAGGTATCCCTTTTCCCTGATCACAGATGATACCTTTTAAATCAGCTTGACCTTGGGAGAAAAGATAGTTGAGAAATGATGTTTTGAGAGTCTTTTCTTTCAATTTAGAGTCATGCATAGATCAGATGTTTCTTTCATACAGACTATGCCAGATTACAGAAGCTGATGTGATTCTGTTCCTTTATCTTTTTGTGAGCATTGTATCCCGTACAAATATCATGGTACAAAAGGATTCTTTTTGTGGTTTATCTTACACCACTTGGAAAAAAATGCCAAATGATGAAAAAATCCATCAGTGCACTTGCACCCCAGTGGAGTGGGACATATGTGCACAGGTGTACTGTGCACACTGGGGGACGCCAGGAGAGCTGTAGGAGAGCTACTTGCACAGCTGTGCATGTTGTCAGCAGGCTGGTAAATGGAGAAGCCAACTGTGAAAGTGGGAGATGAGTGGATATGACAGATTATTGAGAATTGTGTCCATAGAAATGGAAAAACCTCAAGTTCTTAATTCTTATATCTTTTCTACTTTAGAGCTTTTTAACGGAACTGGCTGCAGGCAAAGGCCAGCTGGGAGACATTGAAAAATTAGCAGTTAAATATGGGAAGATCAGTCCCAGCAAATATTCTGAGATGCAAGTTTGGCTGGAAGAGATGAACATCAGGTAAAAGTGCTAGTGATAAACAGAGGATTGTCTCATGGGGCCAATTGGAGACCCGACCATTCATTCCCAATCTAGACAACAGTTTCATCAGTGGGAAGGGGGCAACCCTCATCCTGGCTGTAGGCTGGTCCTGAGCCCAGTGTCAGGCCTCCAGGACTAAGGGGTGCTTCTAGGCCTCTGACACCAAGATGTTTAAACTGCAGCAATTTTTGTGTGCATGTTAGAGCACAATGTGAATTCACCCACAGGAGACAGTGATGTATTCAGAGTAGTTCTCTCTGTACTGCACTGCAGCAGCTGATTTGGTTACTTAAGCATCAGGTGAGGACACCCTTCACAAACCTTGAAAGGAATATCAAATGTTTAACTTCATGAAGTATATTTAGTACCTGTTGTGAACATACTCCTGGCACCATGTCACTCAGTGGGAACCGTGAGGCACAGCCAGGTCCTTATTTTGACCATGGTAGTTGATTTGCATCATATTCAGTGTGTTCTGAACCTGGTCAGAAATGAACAGGGTCCCCTTGTTTGACATGGCACTGATATGAAATATTGTGAGGTAGTGCTAGTGTTCACTCCCTCAGCACACTTAAGTCCTGATGAAATCTTTATAAAAGACTTTTTCTGAACAAAAAAAAAGGATATAGTTCATGTATAACAATTGTTATCTTTCTTCAAGTTGGAGGCGCATGGAAACTCTGAAAGAGGAAAAGGGCTCCGAACTGATTGGAGTGGCTGATGTGAAGACATTTCTTCAGGACTGTCAGAGCATAGGAGTACTACTGCAAGACAAGATGGTCCAACTCAGGGATCTGGAACCAGGGAACTTGCCTGCTGGGCTGGAGTCAGACAAGCGCAAACTGCATACAGTTGAGAGAGAGGTCCTGGTGATAGAGAGGAAAATTGAATACTTGAGGAGTGTTGCAAAGTCGTAAGTAACCTTCTCTTTTTTTCCATACTCTTTGATAGTTCTCTAAGATCAAGTTGTAAATTATGGCTATAAAGAGGATGAGCAGCTTTTGAAGTTTTCTTTCTAGCAGTCCAAAGAATGAACTTGCATGCTGGATGGAGATGATCTCTCTTGAGTATGGCTGGGTAACTGGTGAAGTGATTGCTTCTAGACTTCACAGGTGCAGGAAGATAAATATCACAGGATTGTCTGTAGTTCTAGCAAGTAGAGTAGTTACTTCTACTAATGGGATTTACCTAGTTCAAAATGTGGAAGTATCATTTCGACCCTGAAAGAGGGTAATCGGGGGAAGCAAGGGTGAACATAAGAAGATAGCAGAGAATTGTGCATAGGAGTTTGAACTTGAAACACTACTTTAAAATTTTTTATGGCCTTGAGTTTTCTATACATTCACAATGAGAATTTGTTGCCCTAGCTGACTTTCTTTTTAATGCAAGTGTAAATATCCAAATCTGTTCCTTTTAAAGAGTTTTGATTCAAACTTTAAATAAATGCCTGTTCACCCAGTTGAATGTATTTTATTTCAGTATTAAGGACACCAACCCCACAGAGAGCAAGGCCATCACTGAGCAGGTAGAGAACATGGAGAGGCTTCTGGCAAAGCTCAAGCTGGAGACCCAAAAGAAGCAGGACATTCTGCAGTGGGCACAAAATCAACAGTCCTTTCTGCAAGACAGCCGTAGGCTTCTACTGTGGGCAGAAGGTATTCAGGAGAAGCTGAGAAGTGAAGAAATGGGTGTGGATGTGGCTTCTGCAGAGCAATTGCTGAAGGAACATCAAGACCTGCTGACAGAAATTAGATCTCAGAAAGAAAGGTAGAGAGATTCTGTGAGGGTGGGCAGTGGGGTGATATGACAACAGTACTGTGAAAATGAAACATGTCTATCTTGTACATAAATTGCGCATGAAAGTGATGCCAAAAGTTTATTCAAATGCACTTGAAACTTACTGTCAGAAGGAGACTGCAAAACACAAAATCTAGTCAGCTTTTGCATACTTATCCTGATGGCTGATGGAGGGGGAAGGAGGAGCTGTATGTTGGCAGTAACAGTGTTCCATAAGCTCTCTTGACAAACTCCGATAGTGCCATCTGCACTTTATTCCAGTTCCCCCACTCCTTCTCAGGCCTTATGTTCCATTTGCCATAATTTTTAGTTCTTCTTCTGCTTGTTATGAATTTCCAGATATTGTTTGCCCTCCTCTCCCTTTTGATGTGAAAGCCTGCTGCTTATATGGGCTTTCTGTCCAAATAGGGAAATCTCACCTACTGCCTGCAGCATATATCCCTGAGCAAAAAACCAGCTGCATTTTGCAGTGCACAACCATGGCCAGCAGGAGAAGAGTAAAAGGGAAGGGGGAAGCTTGATGTATAGGCACTGCCAAAAGAGCAAAGAGGTGTGATGAAAGAGAATTCATATTCCCTCATGCAATGAGGTCTCATTTTTCTTTTTGACTCTGGAAAGATTTGTGCAGCTGGAAGAGCTAGGGCACAAAGTAATCCACCAACAACCCAGTAACAGCAGGACCATGGACGTCCACCAGTCCATGGAGAGTCTGGCCAAGGAGAACAAAGAACTGCTGAAAATGTGGGAACAGCGATTGAAAAAGCTGCAGGATGGCCTAGAATTGCAGAAGTTCAATAGGGAAGGAGACCGTATCAATGCAGCCCTCTCTGGCCATGAGGCCTTTCTCCGGGGAGATGACCTTGGGGTATGTACAGCAGCTGATCTTGTTTTCTCATCTCCCCATGCAGGGAGTAGCAACAATTTTCTTAATTAAACTGGTTTCCTCGTTCTTATAGTCATGGCTTTTTCATAGTTGGGAATTAAACTTTCAGGTTCTCATTAATGTTCTTATATTCTTGCTCATCTTCATGAGAAAAAAAGCTCATTGTCTCTCAAAAAAAAAATTTAAAACCAACTAGAGTTGTGATTTGTTGCTATGTTTGAACATGTCATATGGTTTATATAAAATTGACTCATCTGTTTGGTGGCTAACCATTAAAAAAAATGTTTCAGCTTGAACATAATTTTTTTTGTCAAGTAAAACCATGACTTTTTTTTAAAAAACCACTTTTTCTTTTCACTGATTTAATAACTTTAAAGCAAATGAAGCAAAAAACAAATGCAGGCAATATTCACAAGATCAGTGAAGAAGGAGTTTGTGGTGTCTCACCATCTCGTATGTTTTCAGCTGAACCTAAAACATTGATACTTTTGGATCAACTGAGTGGAATAAAGTTTTACTTAGTTACAACCTGTTGTATTGCACATCTCTAGATGTGCCAGAATGCTGACATAAATTTAGAATGCAGACTTTCTTAAAAGGTGACAACGGAACAATAATGGAAACATAGAACAGAGGAATCAGATATGACACAAACCTGAGCACCTGCTGCTTGTTTATAGTCCTGAACCTCCTTAGGCACATGCAAATGTACACTATATTCCCTGCCTGAGAGAGAAGGAGGAAAATAAGGTCAATTTTTTTTTTCATTGCTAGAGAAACAACAATACAATCAAGAAAAGTCTTGATCAAATTTTTTTCTTAAATGCAGGACCATGTAGATGCTGTTCGAAGCCTGCTGAAGCAACATCAGGAATTTGAACAAGTGCTGGTGGCACTGAAGAGACGAGTTGAAGCACTTAATGAAAATGGGGCGAACCTCCTAGAGAGCAGGCACTTTGCATCTCATGTGTGAGTCCAAACATTTATTTAAATGTCCAAACATTTAATAAATGATCCAGTGTGATTAGGTGTAGAGGAAAAACTTTCTCTGAGGAGAAATTAGTTGACCTCCAAACCATGATCTGCTGGATGAGCAGGAGAAAATGAATTTTTTTTTTTAATAGATTTCCTGGATAAATAAAATGCTTTAGGTTAGAAGTGGCATTTGGCAGAACACTAGAACAATTTGCCTTGTATCATAAATGACATACAGTGACAAAACTTCTTTAATGTAAACTGATTAAATGCCTACCAAAAAAGAATTCTTTCATTTATCTGTATCATGTATTAGAACTATTGTTTGCTTTTAAAAAGTTACAGAAGACTTCACAAGGACATAATTCATTGGGAGCAGATCTTTTGTGTCTTTATTGAATCTGAACTGTTATCTGTAATTCCTTTTTCTGTAGTAGAGCCACTAGGATCTACTAAGGGGACCCCTTTGCAAACAAGAATTAGAAATAGAGGGTTAGAATGGACCTCTTGGATCAGAAGACTATATTCTTGTGATCACAAGTGATAATGTCTTGAAAACTCCCTCCACGAATTTATAAAAAAATGCCCTTAGATCTGATTTCTTGCCAGCACTAGAAGGTCATTCCAAAGCTTCATTGTACATACATTACAGAGAAATTTATTAGTTAAGGTGGAATATTCAGGACAGAGGAAGGTGTTGGTGTTTTAGTGCGTGACTACAATTCACTAACGTAACACAACCATACAAAAGGAAAATCCAGAGCAGCTGGCAAGCAATAGCTGCTTTCCAGATGAGCCCATCACAGTGGTAGGACAGGGCTGTATATCCCTTCCTCCTGTTAGCAGAGTTGTTGGAACTAGATTACATTTATAGTGTACTCATGACTACAGCAGAACCAAGGCGAACCGATAAGACTAGTACTGCATTGAACTTCCTGTTTTTCTTGGTAGCATTGAAGAAAGAATGGTCACTCTCCAGCAAAGGTGGGAGCAGCTGATACAAAGCAATGCAAAGAGAAAACAGAGATTGTTGGATTCCCTGCAGCTACAGGTAAAAAGAGTAGTACTGCAGATTTGGTCAGAGATGTGTAAATTTTCAGTTTTGCCCTTTGTCCTATTATGAGACAAAATTTCAAACTACCGAGCATTCCTACTGCAGCTCACCTTCTCTTTGGCTGTGAGACAGAGTCTCACTCACCAGGGAGCAGGTGATGCACTGGTGATAAATCTTACAAAGCTATAGCCATAGCAGAATTCCAAAACAAAAATGGAGATTTTTGAATGAAAAATACAAATAGAATGTTTTGTTTACTGGATAAGTTTATTCTGCTCATTACTTATTATTGTTCTGGACCTTAATATTTTAGCATAGTTACTGTAAGTTTTGGCACCAAATTCAGCTTTCAGTGCTGAGATACAAAGTTATACTGGAGGATTGGACCTCTTATGGTTAAAATATTCAGTCAATGAGAATTGATAGAATTGATTCACTGACAATTAAAGGCAACAGATTAGTAAATGTGGTAAAAAGGGACTAAGAGATTTTACTGTGAAGGCTTAAAACCTCATTAATGGTTTTAAGATCATACTTCATTTAAAAGTGTTCATTATGTAGAACAACTTTTATATGAAAATATATCACATTTCTTCACTGCAAACCCACACAGAATCAGAAATTAAATCCATTTAATGCTGTTTGTTTCTGTAAGGAGTTTAATCGTGATACTGCTGAGCTTTTAATATGGATGGAAGAGAAGTACAAGATTGCATCGGATGAATCCTATCGTGATCCAACAAATGTTCTACGCAAACTAAAGTGGCATGAGGCTGCTGAGAAGGAAATGTTGGCTAATGAGAAGCACTTTACGACACTGATAAAGGTGAAGGCAATTTTGAAGCTAAGTTTTTCATCTTGTCCCAAACTTCATAGTTGCTGATCTGCTAATAAAATGATGTGCTGTGTTTCTCCAGAAAGGAAATCAGTTGATTCAAGACAACCATTATGCTGCAGTTTCTATCCAGGAGAAGATGTCAGAGCTTCAAAAGAACTGGAAGGAATTGTACGGCAAGATGATAGAGCGAGGTGACAAACTGAGACAAGCTGGACAGCAAGAACAGCTCATGGAACTGCTCCAGGTCAGGAAGTCACAGGGAACAGTGGGGAGGAATGGCCTAGGAGCCCGGTTCCTGTGTTGTGTGGATGCCAAAAAAATGAGGAGAATACCATCCAGACAAAAGTGTATTTTAAAGTGTCCATTCTGTCTACAATCTCCAGAGAGAAAGTTCAGTGTAACACTAAGCAAGCTCACTCCAAAGTTATGAGCAGGATAACAGAGCCAGCACGGCACCAAGATACAAAGCTGTTGAGCTCAGGCTCAGCACTGCATCTGTGTGGGCATCCTGTACCAGGAAAACAATCAAAACTCTGTAAGGGTCAGGTCATTGCTGTGCAAACATGCTTGCTTGGAGTCAGTTTGAGGGCTGGAGGCAAGGCACTGTATTAAGCACACTGTCATCCAGGAAAATTATACAAGAGGAACAATGTGTTATGAAGGTGTTTCAATACCATTATGACATGGAACTGTCACTGTGTTGTAGCTACAATCTGAAATCTTTGAAGATTGTTTGATTGTTTTGTATTATGTCACTGAAGATAGTTCAAAGAGGCTGTTTTTAATTGTGTGTTTTAGTGGCTCAGAGAGAAGAGTGCTCCAAAATAGTTTGCAAAAGAAAATATTCCCGGGAGAGACCTCTTACAGACAGTCATTATGTTATCAAGAAAAGACAGTTGGATTTAAAAATTGTGTCCAAGAAGTTGTCATAGGAAGGGATTAGTGAAAGAAAATAGTGTTGAAAGGACAGGATGAGTGTGCTGTAATCTTTTCCTGGCAGGATGCCAAAAAGAAGATAGAGAAAATTGAGAAAGTTCTTCAGGAACCTGAGACAGGCCACGATTTGCGCTCCAGCCGTAATCTACTCAAGCAGCACAGACAGCTGGAAAATGAGACATATGAGCTGGCAGAGAAAATGAATGCTATTGTATCTCATGCAAGGAAAATGGCCACCAATCACTTTGACTCCCAGAGGATTCTGGATGAAACACAGAAATATCTGAAAAGGTGAGGTGTCACTCTCTTTTTGTCTCCACTCCTTATAACAAATAACATTTTTTATTCTACCTTGTAGAAAATGTCTTTTAGTTGATTGAGTTTAACCCATGCTCAGGAATGATTTCTCCTCCCAGTTGTAACACAATTAGGCTTTGATCTGCAACTGTACAGCTGTCTGTTGACCCATCTCAACCTCTGTGGCTGGACATTGCTCCTTGCCTGCTGCACTCCTCCTCTAGTCCCTTGCTTATCCATAGGTCATCCATCGCTTTAATAGTGACTAGTTTCTTAAAACATCACAGGACAAGCCTAGGACTTCAAAAGCATAACGTTTAGTGTTATCATATAGTTCTACTTGTCATAAGTAGCCTTCTGTAGAAGGGATTCTTGTATATGCAGTCAGCATTAACCATTGATATTTAATTGCAAAGAAACGTCTAGCATTTGAAATCTTCACAATGGTATCATAACCTAATTCCTGTAGCAGAATTAGGATAAAGCTTTGTTTTAACGTATATTTAATGGATAACCCCTAGGTTTGAGTCTTTGGAAGCACCTCTTTATGAGAGGCGTAAGTTGCTGGAAGCTGCAGTGGATCTTTATGAGTTCTACCATTATCATGACATGGAATTGAACTGGATTAATGAGCACTTGGCTATTGCCCATTCCACCAACTGTGGGAAGTCCTTGGATGTGGCTCAAAACCTGTTGCAAAAACACAAGGTAACTCCTTTAATCAAGTGTATTATAGCATGGTGACACATTGCACTTCATCTCAGCCTGCAAACCTGCACAGTTAACACTTTGTATGAGTGCATTCACTGCTAACAGCTCTAGTCCAGCTAAAATGGTTCAGTGGATTGAGACAAATCAGCAGTGTGGTGATGATTTTCCAAGCAAATACAAAATTCCTGTGAGAACTGCAAAATTTGTCCTATTTTGGAGTATTATTATTCTGAGAAATTGTGTAGCTCTTCCTATTGAAAGTGGATAAAAAGCCAGTGTACCTTACACTAAACAGAAAATAAGAGGTTTTTTCCTTTGTGGCTCAATCTGGGTTGATTTTTTTTTTTGACTGTTACATCCTTGTCCTACTGTAGCTTTATGTTTACTGCTTCCTTATACATGAAATCTTGAAGTTCGTGCATGCTAGATTTTCTGCAAGAGCATGTAACAGCCATTTAACATTTATTTTAATTCTATACTGCTTGTAAAATGGTTTGACAAAGCTACAGTCAATATGTTTATAAAGGTAAGTTAACACTAATTTCTGGGGAGTTGGGTTCTATGTAGCAATTCCTCACAGCCAGAGGGACATCTTGGCTGTCCTGCACCACAGGCAATGCTGGATTCTGCAGCACCTTGATTGCAAATTCCATGAGAAAGATTATAAAACCAATGGGGATGCCTTATGGAGCAGGAGTCTAATAATTTTCATGGTACTGTTGACAGTATCTCTCTTCCCATCATCCTCCAGCCCTATTCATCTTCTGGGATATTCTGTTTTCTGACCAGCAGCTCAACACTCTTTACTGACTCACCCAGCTTTGTGTCTCATCTCTTGTTCTGTTCTACCTCCCAAACCTTTCTGACTGCTGGACAGGGGAAGGGGCAAGAGCATGGTAAAGATAAGGGGAGAAGGGGTAGGACCAGATCAAAGCATAAGGCTGAGGACTCTGGTGTAGGGAAGTTAAGGGATGTCTGCTGCTTCCTTACATACTCTTCTTTCCTCTCTCAATGGCAGTACCAAGAGCAGAGCATTATGCAAGTGGGGCTGGGAGTAGTGTCTGAAGCTGCAGGTGTTGTAGAAATAGACAGCCCATATCCACTTGCTGTACTCTAACCACTGTCACCAGCTGCCAGTTTTCCTTAGGACTAGGAGTAACAGAATTTATTTATCCTCACATTTTCTTCCTTTATTTCTACTTTTTATTTTATCTCGTTCCCAGGAACTGCAGGCAGAAGTGACTGCCCATAAACAGCAAGTCCAACGGGTCCTGGATAAAGGAAAGACAATGGTTGCAGGCCAGCACCCATCACCTCAGAAAATAAGTGAGAAATGCCAGGAGCTTGTGACTGCCTGGCAGGGCTTGGAGAAGTCCTGTGAGGAAAGGATGAAGCAGCTGCAGCACTCAGTTGGCTTCCAGGAGGTACAAATTACAGCAAAGAGCTTACACAGTAGCTTCTTCAGACAAATAAGAAGACCAAAATATTAAAGTGAATAAAAACCCAGCTCTGCTGGGACTGGTATTCTCTTCAGTTGCTTGAGGCCAGACTCACGGGAGTGGAGGGCTGGATTGCGTAGTTTAATGCAGCCCCCAGCCTAGACCTGCTGCTCTAGAGGTTTCCTTTGAGTTCTATATCCACCCCTTTTGGTTCTGTACAGAACACACATTTCTCCTAGTAGTAGCTCCCTTCTCAGTATCTTTATACAGCCTCAGGCTTTGACTTAATTAATGTAATGAATCCTGAACTGGCCCTTCATACTGGAGAATTATGATAAGAAAATCAGAAAAGAGGGGATTTTTTGTGCTATCCAATCTTTACCTGTTCCCAGTGAAGATTCAGAGAAAGTTAGGGATTTTGATTCTATTATTTTCTATAGGCTTCTGGAATTTTATCCTTAGACTTTATCCTTTTTTTTTTAAAAAAAAAAAAAGTTAAAAATTGCACGCAAATATTTATATCAATAATCCAAATTTTCTGTCATTAGTGGATCATGTAGGAGTTCAGTTATTCAGGTAGCACATGCTGTTTGGTAGACATAAACAATGTTTGCACAGAGTTCACCGGACCAGCTATGGTATGGTCCCTGGGGTATATGATCATCTGGCTCTTATTTCCTCTATCTATAAAAACACTTATCCATACTGTAAACTTTATGAAGCCTGATTCTTATAGTGATTTGAACTTCTCAGGTAGGGGAAGGAGAAATGTCACACTGATATGATACAGTTAACCCCTACCCTTAGTGAATCAGGTAAAGAAAGAGTCAGAAAGGAAAGTGATGTGAAGAAAGAAAAGCGAGACAAATTGAAACTTACTGACGGAGCTGTAATGCCTGGAAAAGACCTTAGTTATCCTGTGCTGAAGTCTTCCATCTGTGATCTCCTTCATCTTTTTATGATTTCACAAAACAGTGAATTAAATATTTAATAAAACGTCACAGTAAATCTTACAATGCACCCTCCATTTAGAATTTATTAGGTAAAAAAATGATATGAGTGTTTTTAAAGTAAAAACTCATTTGTTCTCTCTTTAACTGATAGTTTTTAGTGAATACTTCAGACCTGGAGGCTTGGATTGCAGAAAAATATCCACTTGTAACAAGCAAGGACTATGGTAAAGATGAAGATGGAACACTGAAACTCATCAAGAAACATAAGGTATTTCTCTGCTTAAATTCTGTAAGCTAGCATGATCTTTTGGTCTGTCTGAGGTTATAAAATTTTTTGTCTTGTTGATAATTGAGTGTCAAGCCATCTACAAGATATTTTGTGTTGATATATGTCCATGTGTGAATAGACTGATAGAAGAGATCAATTCGGTATACTAATATGACTGGAAAAATGTAGTTTGGGTAAAAAGGATAATAGTGAATATTTTTATCTTATTTTCCTTTTTCAACAGATGCATGCAGAAGCCTTATATTTTTTTCCTAAAATCAAAGATACAGATAGAGCATTATTCCAGGGATATTTTTCTCTACCTAATAATGCATCAGGAAATTCTAATTGTCTTTATTCGCCTAACTTGTATGAATTTATGTACATTTTTTTTTCAAAAAATGTTGCTAGAAAATTATCTAAAATTGATCAAGTCTTGGAAATGTCATATCCTTCCCAAAAGTATTTCTCATCATTTAATGTCTCAACTGTAGGCTGTTCACAAACAGTGGATCTTCGACAACTCTCAATTCACTATTTTTCTTTGCCAGGCACTGGAGCATGAGATTGCCATTTACCAAGATTTAATGAAAGAACTGAGCGAAAGTGCCCAAAGTCTTCCTCTTGTGGGCTTCATCCAGTATACTGAGGTTGATGCACCAAAGGAACAAGTTCGTTCAAGACTCCAGGAGTTACAGGAGCTATCAGCAGCAAGGTATAAACTAGAACTGCCTCTTGAGTCTTAGCTTTGATTCAAAGCCCACTGATATCTCCAATTACTTTACTGGAATTTAGATCATAATAATTATCTCCTCCCTTTTCAATTGTATTTAGGAAATTGCTTGTTTCTATATTATAATTCCAAGCACCTATAAGCTTTTCGTTTTTGCTAAACAAAACCTCTACAATGTATTCAAGGAGTTTTGCTACATATTAAGAATTTGAAGCCCACAAATTTCCTCTTTATCCTTAATCATCCTCCTGTAAAGTGACTTGAGATGCCAGGTTCTGACTTGCATTTGTGGTACTTGGAATATGCCACAGGAAAATAAAAAAAAAGTATTTTTAAAAGATTTCCTTAATGTTGCTTGAAAATTACTTAATTTGTTACATAACATAAGGGAGAAAATTACAGATACACTTATCTTTATGCCCAGTGACTCTGTTAGTATAGGAAGCTTTTTATTCTTGAATGAATCATTTACTTTTCATTTCACTTCCTTTCTGTTATTATTACAGCAAGGTGTTTACAATGGGACAGTTAGCTCAGGTTTTTAGCACTTTGTTGTCAGGAAGGAACAAATGTCTGAACAGTTTAGATTTTTCTTTCACAAAAATTTCATTCAGAAAAAGAATGAGGCTCTGTAAGTAGAATAACAAATAGATTAATCTAAATACTAGAATTATTAAACCTGGTATTTTACCTTTTGTTTCTATTCTTGTTTACAATTGAAAAAGTAAAAGCAACAATAGAAAATCCTGTGAATGAAAAGTTCAGAAAAAAAAAACCTCAATCTAGAAATACCAAAATGTGTGTGTGTTGAACACAGAATTGTTTTGTTTTTTCACTCATGCTTAATGTTAACCTGAGTCTTGTTGTGCTTTATTGGCACTCTGGTTTGTACCTCTAATCTGCATTCTCTTTGGGCTGGACTCTCTCTGAGCAGGCTGCCTCTCTTGTGATGAGCAGCTGTGATTCAAAGAGGGAAGCCAAGTTCATCTTTCCTGGAATTTTTGCACGATGGTCAGTCAGTGTTAGCAGATGGAAAATTGATATATTATTTACTGTGAAAGGCCTGTAATGTCTGGCTGAGTTATAAGATACTCTAGACCATGGTTGCAGCAATTTTGCTAAACAGGCAACGTAAGCAGAATTGCATCAAAAGGCTTTCATAGCATCCACTTTCCTGATGCACCATCCTCAGAAAGACTTCCTTCTCATTTTCATGAGCAATACAATTATCCTTAGAAAGACAGATCAGGGCAGATCTGGAAAAAAATAAAAAATATTTCCATGGGAAGAAAAAAAACCCAACAAAAAAAACATCAGGAATGAAACCCAACTGAAATCAAAAGCAGAACAGGGGTAGAACTCAACTAGGCACAGCGCTCTTCCAGGACACCCAGCCAACGAGATGAGTATGACCTGGATGACAACTGTCATCCTACAAACATTATTTCCACTTTTCAGAAATAGTCAGCTCTTTCATTAAAGAGAGTGAGTCTTTTGTGAGAGGTTTTGGGGATTCATAGGAAGAAAGTTACTGATTGCCCTCCTCCATATTGCCTTGATCTAATTGTATTACCTTTTCTCCTTCCCCCAACAGAGGGAAGAAGCTGGATGAAACTCTTGTCTTGCATGAGTTTGTACGAGAATATGAAGATCTGGAAGACTGGATCACTCAGCAGAAACAAACAGCCAGCTCTGAAGACTATGGAAATGATTATGAACATGTCTTGGTGAGTTTTTTGAGTAACAGATCAAAAATCAAATAAACTATATGTATTAAGACTGTAAACAGATTCTAGGGTTGTCCATGAAAACTTAAAAGACAGAGTAAAGAATAAGGATAAATAACTGGAAGATGGGAAGAGAAAAGGGTGAAGAGTGGGTGGGAAGGTCTGAAGAACAGACAGCGTTGCCTAACACATCCTGCTACTATGAGGGCTGAACTGTGTGAAACAACTGCATGCTAAAATGTCTATGCCTTCAGAGAGCAAGTTCTCTCTACTTTTAATAATCAAGTATTTTAGTATGGTATCCATTTAGGACTTTTCCTTTTTTTCTTTTTTTTCATTGAGGTTGCTGATTGCTGTACGAACATCTACAGCTATACCTCTTCATGGAGCATAGAAACCAATCTAATATCAGCCTGTTAAAAATCAATATCTGCTCTGAATCCTCGTTTTATAATCTGTTTCAAAATAACTCGTATTCTAAACCTTAAAATGAGACTGCATTATCCATTTACAGTACTGAATACACATTTGCATTCATGAAGGGAAAACATATAATTTAATAATTGAAATTCGTTGTACATAGAATGTTTGTTTCCATCCCCACTAATAATGTTTCTGCCTCCCATTTGCATCACAAACCTCATGTTTTACTAAGAGTTTGCAGCTCCTCACATTCTTTGGAGGTAAAATCCTGTCACTCTATAGGGTCTCCATCTGTAAGTATGGTCAGCTTGTTACCTGTCTTTTGGTTGTGCTCTGTTAAATGAGCAGGTATGTTTGGGAAATGAGAGCACTCAAAAGGTGTTTGTTTTTTTTATTCTTGTTTTCCCTTCAAAAGCAACTTTGTGCCAGATATGACACATTCCGACACCAGTTGGAAGCAGCTGGGAAAAGAGTTGTGGCTTTCCAGCAGCTGGCAGACCACTTGCTGAGCTGCGACCATTCTGGGTCCCAGGAAATTCGGCAGATGCAGAAAGAGCTAAGGTAGGAGACTCATGTTAGCTCCATAATGCTTTGTCCTTTCAATTCACTCTCGAGAAAGAAGAAGAGACAAAATACTGGAAAAGAATAAGTCAGGTTCTCCTAATTCTCTAATTGCAGAATATATGGCTTGCTTATTGAAGCAGAGCTGCTGCCACCCTCATTTAAAAATTGACTACTATAATGCAGGCATTACCTACTTGGTTTTAGCTTGCTTTTAGCTTCTGTAAATTGCATCAGAGGTGCTTTACAAGTAAGGGTGAGTGAACTTCCTTTGCCCTTTGAAACAAGATCACCTAACTGAAAGGCTAGGAGTTTTGTTGCTTTTTTATTCTGATTTTTGAGTTTGAATCCCATGATTGCTCTTTAGAATAACATTAAAATGTTCTGAGCTTCTTAGTTCTGGCATCAGTCCAAACTGACCTGAAAGAGAAGTGGGTCTGTCTGCTGTTTTGGGCACCTCAGTGTAAGGAAGATATAAAGCTCTTAAAAAGTGTCCAAAGGAGGGCTATGAAGATGGTGAAGAGCCTAGAGGGGAAACCGTATGAGGAGTGGCTGAGGTCACTTGGTCTGTTCCGCCTCCTCTGGAGGAGACTGAGGGGAGACCTCATCACAACTTCCTCATGAGGGGAAGTGGAGAGGCAGGCACTGATGTCTTCTTTCTGGTGACCAATGATAGGACCCAAGGGAACAGCATGGAGCTATGTCAGGGGAGGTTTAGATTAGATATTAGGAGAATGTTCTTCACCCAGAGGGTGGTTGGACACTGGAAAGGGTTCCCCAGGGAAGTGGTCATGACAGAAAGTCTGACAGACTTCAAGAAACATTTGGACAATGCTCTCAGGCACATGGTGTGATTTTTGGGGTGGTCTTGTGCAGGGCTAAGAGTTGGTTTTTGATGGTCCTTTGGGGTCCTTTCCAACTCAGGATATTCTGTGATTCTATGACTCAGTTGTCCAAGTCCTGCATATAAAACCCAAAAAGCATAATTGCTTTTTGAGTCCTATGTCTCACATATGACCATCTCTTTAAGCTTATGGAGTAGACAGGAGGACAGAGAAGGGTGAGAGACATGCTGTCCTTCAGAGAATCACTCCAACAGAATTTAATGGCAGAAATGAAAAACAAAGTAAGAGCAGGTCTTGTTTTCAGTTTTTCTTTAGACTGTTGGTCTCCATTACTCCTACTTTAAATTTTTTACATGGTTCTTTCCCCCATCCTCCCCTGAAGGAACTCTTGGGAGGAGCTGTTAGAAATTACCAGATTACGAGGTGCACGGCTGAGAGACGCTGAGGCAATTCACAAGTGTTACCAAGATCTAACTGATGCTCTGGCACATATTGAGGTAAAAAATAATGGGAAATTCTCATATAATGCGAACTCTATTTCAGCTTTATTTGTGGAATATTCTTGTGATTCTCAGCATGCTTACTAATGACTTCAAAAAAGTTCTCAGTAAGAAACCAGTGTTATTACTCAAAGTGTAAAAAAAAAAAATCCTTTGTAATCCTTAGATACGTGACTGGTTACCTAATGAGAACCATTGGTGAAAGCAGGTGTAGCTGGAGTTGTTGATCTATGGGGTAAGCTGAGATCAGTGCTTGAACTAAGTTGTCTCACAGTGCAGTGTATACAGTAGTGTTGTTTGGAGTCATCAGGCCTAAGAAACTATTTACTGCCTCACCGTGGTGGCTCTTTGTATGCTGTTGTAGCTTTATGTGCTGAAGAACTATCCTTTGAAAAAGGCATTTGTCTGTATTACAGTAACCATTAGCCTGGAAGGCTGTCAGGCAATCATGTGACCTGATGTGAAAAGCTGGGCCAAAAATCTTCTCCTCTCATTTCAGTGCCCAGTACTGGCAATAATTTCAATCAGTCCCATTGTGAAAACTAGGGGGAGAACTCCCAATAAAAAAATCTTCAGCCTTCTGTTTTATCTGAACATCCTGAAGAATTTCACAGAGAAACCACATGCTTGCTGTAATGAGGGGTGTGGTTTCCCTAATGCAGATGTTTACAGGAGCAGCAATCCAATAGTTTCCACTGTTTTCAAGGCAACAGGGCATTGTTTAGTTACATGCAATTGATTTTCTAGTTGTTTATCCTGGCAGAGACTGCCCTATTGAACTTTCTTCCTCTGTCATGAATGGAAAATCAAGCATCATATTATTTCACCATATGCCAGGTGGGATTTTCAGAACCTGGTGCATATTTAACTTCAATGATGAAGTAGTTAATTCTGAGGCAGAAACAGAATTCAGAAACACTTCACAGACCAGCTGTCAGTTTATCCCCATGCTGTTTGGTCCAGGCAGCCACTACACCCTTCTTGCATTACATCTTGTTAATAGCTTCATGCCAGAGTGAGAGAGCAGTACAATCATCTTGCTCATCCCTTCGTGTGTACTCTAGTCAAAAGTCTACCAGGGAAAGCCATTTCTTATAGGAACCAAGTACTAGGAGATCTTGCTTAAGTCATCAGCTCCAGTGTCATCATAGTATAGACAACTACAACATCTCCTTTTATAAGACCTTACCAAGATGCATTGTTGGTACCCCAAACTAGCCTGTGAATCTGCTCCATAAATGCACTTCTTCAATGGTTAAAAATGTTCTTCTAATTTTCTCTAAACTGACCTGGAACAAATTTCTAATAATTTTATTCTAGCAACACTGTTGTTCTCTAGCTGTTGTTCTCTAGCCTCTTTTTTGTCTCCTTGCTGTATTTTCGATGCATGTCTGGATAACAACTAAATCCCTTCAGAGCTAAATAAATGTTTAAGTTTCCTTTTATGTAATGGTCCTTCCATTTCTTTCATTTTTACAGTAAACTTGCTTGAGCATCTATAATTAAAATTTTCATATAAAGATGGTTCACAGAAAGATCACCTGTATGCCAAAGAATGGGTTGAAGCTGTTGCTTGTTAATGCTACTTTTAAGAATTCACTATGTCACTGCAGCAGCTGTTCCAGATTGATTCCCAACACAAAGCCTGTAAGACGTTCTCTTATATTGTCTGATCAAGGCAAGACTTGAACCTTTATTTGTCACAGTTCATTTGAATAGTTTAATCATTAAGATACTTAGAAGTGAGTTACTAGGACAGACTTTTCTGGCTTCCTTTTACCTATAATAGTTGAGTAACCCAGGATGTCCTCAAGAGTGCAGTATGAGTTGCACTACTCAAAATTACTAATATAGGCTTGTAGTGAGTTTTGCTTGGAAGTAGAAAGTAACAAAGCTTTCTGTAATTTCATCCTTCTAGGACAAGTCCAAAAGTATTCCAGATGATGTTGCTAAGGACATGAGAGGTGTGCAAACCCAGCTCCGCAACCATGTGACCTTGGAACATGAGCTCTCCGGTAATGAGCAGCAGGTAATGGCAGTCATTTGGGATCTTTAATGTGTAGCCAAAATTCAAGTTTCCAAGATAAGCATAATAATTTGGTATTGTGAACCAAATTACTACCATCTCTCACAGAAAGACTGGAAATCTCTACAGATTTTCACTAGTTTTCTGGTTTTCTTTGTATATTCAAGGTCTAATGGCAGTGATAAAGTAAGTAATTTAAAACTTTTCAAATAAGGCACATACTATAATGTGTGCTGATTATTGAAGTGATTCACAGGGATATTTTTGATCATTGTTTGGAATGTATGATTATGCCGGGCTCTGTGATGTGCTTATCATCCTCTTCATAGTGTTTCAAGTGATTACAAGGAAAAAGCCAGAATCAGTTTTATGTGCAGAGAAAATTAATATTCATTAAACACAAAGTGCTTTGATTGACTATGGAGGATTAGAGAAGAAAGTATAGGGCAACAGTCTGAAATTTTCTCTATGTTTGGAAGGGTACAAATTGGACCATGAGAAAAAAGGATAGGGCTCATAATACAAACATAAAAAGTTTCAGCTCAAGAGAACAGCTTCCTTGTATAAAAGAGATTTGCTTGGTTTCAACGAGGCCAATAAAACTAGTATGAGTTTACTCTCCACTTTTGTTTAATAAATGTAATAGTATACAATAGTATATATAGTATAAAACACAGCAAGTGTAATATTGAGATTATTTTAGTAGTTATCCCAGTATTAATTATCAGCAGCCTAATGTATTGGCTTCAGGACAGATAACATTAAAATTGATTCCACCAACTATTTGTGACTTTTGAAGGTAAAAGAGCATGAGAGACACATGAAGAGAATGTGGTCACAGTTAAGCTAAATGGTCAATGAGAAAAAAAGGGAATAGTTAGCAAATACTTGCATTATATTAGAAATTACAATACTGGTTGCATTATTCAAATAATAAATGGTATAGTAAAAAGGGAAAACAAAATCTGAAAAATCACTGTTGCGATGAGCCTTGGCAAACACTGGATGTCACTATTACTCCATAGAACTGAAATTATGGAAGTTTTTGTTTAATGTGCGAAAAGCTAAGTCAGATAACATTGCTTGAATTGTAGTTTCGTGCACAGTTAACATATCGTGCACAGTTAACATATCCCTTATCATAACTTTTCTGATATTACCTGATGTCTCTGACGCTCTCCTTCCTACCTTCTTCTTTCGTCCCTGTATACAGCTGCAGGAGCTGATCCACTCTGCAGATCATGTGCTGCCTCACTGCTCAAAGAAGCAGGTGGAAGACCTAAAAGCAAAGCAGCAGGCAATAGTGACCAACTGGAAGACTCTGAAGTCTAAAGTGGAACTGCGCAAGAAACTTTTGGAACAAATATACAAGCTTCACGAGTTTCAGGCACATGTAAGCACTTCTGCCATCTGTCCGTTGGTACTCAGGAGAAAGTTGCCTTCAATTTGTGTGAATCATAGGTGTATTTCCAAGCTGCAAAAGGCTGCAGGTGCTACATGTGGTATTAATGAAACATTTAAGTGCGTGTAGCTATTTAGAAAGTTGTTAGAGGATAAAGATCTTTTACCCTCTGTAGGAATAAAAGCTCATATCCAGCTGTGTATGGAATAATTGACAGTTGTCAGAAATGACAGGAGCAGCAGTAGTCTTTTCAAAGACTGCGATTTCCACTGAGTAAGAGTGATAAAAGGCGATGTTACACTCCCATTTATAATGCATTAAAGTTTGATCTTGCTCTCTCAGGGTATGCAATAACCCACAGTTAACTTCATGGAATGTATCAAATACAACTCACTAGTTCTTGCACTAACTTCTCAAGTTGCTTAAACAGTGACATGGATATATCAGCATAATATTGTAATCAACAATGCACAGTAGCTTTGTCTCCAAAGAATTCAATAGGTCACTAAACTATAATTTGCCATAGAATACTTTGCAAACGTTGGTAATCTCAGTGAAGGCACCTGAGCTACACCATTGCAAATCAGTAGATTACTGCTGCAAGTACTGCAGTAGCAGGTTCTAAACCAACGAGTGTCCCCTTATATCATGAAGGAAATTGGTAATGTAGATTTCTAGAATACTTTGACGTTCTTTTATTCTTGAACTCCTCTAGATGTAACTTCAGTGTCAACTCACATTCTGTTTCCATTTTTGGTGGGAAGCAGAGAATGTCCAGGGTATGCTGGAAAAAAACTTCCTACAACTCTGTCCTAGGTTTGTGAGCTGGGAGCAAGACCACCGTAGGTGTACATGGTTCTTTTTTGTTAGCATGAGAGACTTCTTCATATTAGAGTAGTCCACTTCAAGTCTCTTATAAGTGTTCAAATTGGTGTTATCTGCCTATTTCATAAAAAAAATATATAGTTAGAGATAAAGAATGCTTATGGCACTTTGGGTTTTTTGAGGGTTTGCTTGGTTTGTTTTTTAACTGTTACAAGTCTATTATCTTGTGCAGAACTGTCAATGGGGAAAATAAAAGTGTCTCTAGTGATGTAGGTGAAAAGTTCATTTGTCCACTGTCTTTCTAATAGCATCTAGGAATGATAGTAAAAATAAGTCAAACTTTCAGAATTGTATTCTTCTAACATATATTAGAGTCTTGAAGTCTGCAGCCTGGGAACGTCTTCACCTGGGAGGTGGGTCTTGGTGGATTTATCCATCAAAATGTAGTCACTCAGAGTTCACTTCATTATTACTTTGCTTCATAACTTACATCATAAATTTAGTTATTGACTTCAGATAGAAAATGTCTTGTTTTCCCCACCTGTTGGGGTACTTTTTTAATTGCTATTGCTGGAACCATACAAAGCACCTTTGGTTTGAATTTTGTCTGAATGGCAAATCTATAGCCCATTTCTCCATCTGGCAGTGTGTCCTTTGATCTTTAGGACTCTTAACATTATAAAACAAAATGACAAAGCCAGGTGACTGTGTTCTCAATGACATGTCTTAGACGGGATTATGCTCCAGGCAACTTCCTGCCTCTTGTAATGGAAATAGATTCTTGGCTGCTCCATTTTACCAATGGATGGCAAAAAGTGTTCCTGATCCTCTTAATTTTCACCTCCTTTCCTGACAATAATTCTTGAAACAGTGAAGATCTGGTCCTGCAAGTTTGGTAAACTTGTCTTTCTGCCCAGATGGGACAAGGCAGCATCATGCAGCTGTGTCTAGTGACTGAAAAACTCAGTAGCTCTAGGGTAGGTTAGAGCAGCTTTGCTGCAGAACATCACCCAAATTGCTGAATGCAAAGAGGCAACTTTGCTATCTTTCCTCTTTCAGCTATGACAAGAGGTCCACAAACAATGTTAGTCACAGCTGTTCAGTGTACTTTTTTCATTATATCGTTCATATGCAGTCATTGGGTTTTTCATTAAGAAATTGTGCACAGATTAGGTGAAACAAAAAAAGTTCAGTCTTTCCATAAAATGAGAATTCTACACAATCATCTAGTGTATCTCCTTGCACCCCATCAAGTACAATTTTAGTCTGATTAAATAGCAGAGAGCTGGGCCTAATGGACAACGCACGGTAACAGCAGAGGGCTTCAAATCTTCCAAGAAACTTTGTCAAGGAAGATGAATGTAGACATAGACTCAAAGTATTTCTAAGTGATCTGAGGCTCTTAATCTGAAGTTTCTGCTAGGATTTGCATGGTCTCTGTCAGGCTCTGCTTAGGAGTTTCCTGCAGACTGATGCCTTGTCTATCTTTAAATGTTGCTGGCAGTGACAGTCCAGTAACCACTCATTGGCTCTTGACTTGTTCCATCACATTATATATCCTGAGATTTATGTATTTTTTCCTAATGCTTTCTTAAAATCTCGAGGAGTCTTAGACATTTGCAGTGCCAAGTGCAATGTCAGTGTCTGCAGTGACATCCAGCTGTGTGAATGAATTAGTTCTAAAAATCAAAATTATGCCAACACGTGTGCACTATGTGGGCCCCTTTAAAAGGACCACAGTCTTTTTAAACAGTCATTTAGTAGCTGTGTTTGTTGGCTTTAAGAAAGAAATCTTTATCTCTGTTTATCTTGGCTTCAAAGCCTAGACTCAGGATCCCAAATTGGCCAGTTTCAATTTTGTGGTGCTTTTCTGAAATTTTTTTTCTTGGCTGGCAGTACAAAATTTTGATGATATGAACAAAAATCCATGGGTAAAATGGAGCAGCCAAGAATCTATTTCCATTACATAGTTTCCTTCAGTGGAAAAGCCAGCAACCACTCACAAGAGAAAATTTTTAGTTCTCTGCAGTGAAAGAGGGTTTTTTTCAACACTTACTATACCTAATAGTCTTTTAAAATACACTTTAAAAACCTGACAAACTGTTTACTACCTCAAAATTAAATCAACTAATTCAGACACAATTAAACTATAGCAAAACTTAATTAGTCATTGCATGTAATTCCCAGTATAGTCCCTTGCAATCCTAATTTTAACAATTGACAGGGAAGAGTAAAACTCCTATTGCAGATTCAAATAAGATGCCTAAAGAAAGTGACTGTTTAAGGTGTAGATATCAAATGTGGAAAAGGACATATAGAAAAATGTCAAATTATTTTTACTTGTGCAAATTGCTTCAGTCACAGTTAGAAAATAATTCTCAGATATTTGTTTTAGAACTTTCTTGCTCATAATTGCTTCAGCTGAATGCTTCAAGCATTTTAAGATATTGTAAATGTATTTATTGTTTAATCAGATTTTGAAAGTAAACTAGCATCACGTCCTTGTTCCTCCCAGAACTGTGTTTCTGTGTCAATCTCAATTCTATAGTTCCACAAACCAAAAGCTGAATCTGTATACCTGATTTGGTTATGCAATTTTTTCTAGGCTGTGATTTACCCTTTTTCCACATTTATTAGAATGCATTTGTTTTTTATCAGAAAATTCAGACTCTCATTTGAGAATATGTGCACAACCTAATTTCAAATAGACTTGCATTAGACAAAGCTGTCGCAGAAAAATAGGATGATACTGTTTTATCCTTTGTGAAGGAATAACATTAGAAAACACTTAAGAAAAGATGGACAAAAGGGCAATAAATTATATCATGCTGTCATTGACATGATATGACAGAGTTTGACTATAATTATGATATTACAAACCATATATGATTTAACACAGTATGTAGAAATTCCAGCAGTCATTATCCATGCTTGTAAAATTCAGAGAAGTACTGTAAGCACCAATGAAATATTTTCTTTCTTATCTGTGATTTTATTATCTATTAATCACTTCAAGTTGAACAGGCCTATGATTTTCCTCCTTCATAACCTAAGCTTGAGCTCTAACCTCAACTTTCACATTTTCTTGGGTTCCAGGTGTGGGACTATTTCTTATGGACAGCAGAAATAATAAGGGAAATGAGAGCCAAGGAGACCATTCGGGACATATCTACTAGCAGCCTGAGACTTACTCAGCATCAACAGCTACTGGCAGAGATTGAAGCACGAGAAGAGAAGTATAGTCATACTGTACAGCTGGGTCAGTCACTCCTGCAAGATGAGGAAATGGGATCAAAAGAGGTAATTGAAACTCTTCTGAGTTCGATCATACATATTCAGCTACTTGACACCAGTGTAACTATCACACTGTAAGCATACAAATACACATGTGCATCAATTCTCTATACACATGACCTATGTTTGCCTCAGTGTGTTACCTAGCTTGGGCACAGAAACATCTGTTCCTTTTCCTATCTCAGCAGCAGATGCGTGCTGGCATCTCCTGAAGGCCCCCTGCAGCAAAGCTGGGCTCATTCAAGAAGTTCACCATGTTCTGAGCAATGGATTTAATTCTACCAACTTCCCAAACTGGATTTTCACAGAAATACTATGCCTCATATCACAGTGGTATATCCACACCAGAACAGTCTGGACAAAAATTTGGAGTGATATAATGGCACTATTAATGACTAAAGACAATGGAGAATTAGGATCTTATTTTAGAAAGCACACTTGGGAAACAGTTACCTTTCTTTGCTCTTGGCTTGAACTGCTGTATATGCTGTAAGAAACACTTCTCCATTGCTGAAATGAGGCACCTCTGGTTATCTCTATGCTCAAATAGAATTGCTAGAACTTGTTTTGCTTTTTTTTCTGTTTAATAATTTTGTTGCAATTTAAGGGGATTATCCACCACTCCGCTTAATCCTTTCTTGTCTCAGCTTACCCTGATCCATATGATCTAAAGACCAACATGACTTTTTAATTGGAAATTATGTTCAGATTCAGCAGAAACTACAGGCTTTAATGGAAGAGAAGAAAAATGTATACAATGCATGGAAACAGAAGAAGGAGTGGCTGGAGAAAATACACCAAGAACAAATGTTCTACAAGGATTGGGACCACTTGGACATGCTCCTGAATTCACAGGAGGTGAGCGAATTATAAACTTGAAATAAGCAGATAAACTCTTCAATCATTTAAATTCTTTCAAACTAAAAGGGGCACGACTGTTCACCTACAGCTTAAAATCCTTGTGTCTGCATATACACAAGACACTCTTTTTATTTTTATAATTTGCATTGTGTATTACTTAGAGAGTGTAACAATGTACAGGACCCCCACCCTTCTTATGGAGCTTAGGTGTGGAACCAGAAACAAACAGATGATACTTGCCTGAAAGATAATTAATTGCAAATAAACATGACAGCTAACACGTGAGAGTCACAACAGAAGAGGGAGACAAGAGTCCAGTATTAGTCCTCTTTATAAACAGATCTCATCATACCAGCTGCTTAACCATTGGCAAATTGTTTTGTAGGCTTCAAAGGGAAGGGAAAGTGGGTTTGAATGGAGTTTGCTTTACAGGTGTTGCTGGAAACCTCACCTCAGGCTGAGGGTTAGTGCTGGGAAAATGCAACTACTGGAAGATGGATGTTGGCAGTGTGAGTTAATACAGGAAAGTGAATTGACTTCTCAGTTCTGCAAGGGTATTGATAGCTGTGTGTAGAACAACTACAAAAGAATTTTTAAGGAGTATTAGTTTCTGTTTGATGCAGTAGAGAGATGAACTAGTGAAAAAGGTCCTCTCATGAAAAGAGAGGGCAGATATAATTAATGCAAAGAGACAGAAGGATGTTCTTATTGTCATCTTTTTGCAGCTCTTGAAATAGGTTTTTTTTCACCATTATTAAATTATCTTTTGTCTTTCTTGCACTTTGATTCATGTAACTGTTTAAAAAGGTTCCAGCTCAAGGTCTAACATTTGCTATTAGAAAACAGTGCAGTCACCCTGTGAATTCACAAACTGATAGATTGCTATAGCCATGCTGAGACTTGGCATGCAAACCACATCAGTGGGTTGAAGGTTGCCAAATTTAAGGATTGAAGGAGGTTGTACCTCCAGTCATTTCTCATTAAGGAAAAATAATACTTAATTCTCCAAGACCACTGATAGAAAAATATAATGGCTCTCAGTTTGTGCTGAGCTGTTTTTCACCAGCGCTTTGCCACTGGCACTAAATCTTTCTGAAAACTGACCCTTCGCTGTGCCATGCAGTGATACTTAACCCTTTGTAGCACGTGGGCCTGGAGCTTTCTGCTACTCATTCATTGAAGGAAATGCATATCTTCATAATTCCCTACAATTGGCAATCTTGGCATGTGTGCCCTGCATTCTTGAGTTTGTGATGAAATATGAAACAGAGCGTTTCACCTAGGTTCAGGTTTCTGGAGTAAAATATTATATGGTTCAACCCACTATTTGTTGCTTCATTAGCAAGTGGCATGATTTGCATTACATCTATCTCAATTCCCTACTAACATCATTGCTAAGCTCCTGCATAGGAGCTCATCAGGGAAAATGTAAACTCTACAAAAGTTTGGCCGCTGTATTTTTTCTCCTTTTATGAAATGGACATCAGCCAACATGCAGAGGCAGAGGCACTGTCACTGTGGCATCTGCTTTGCTCTGTATACTTCAGAGGTAAATGTGTAGGAAGCCACTGTGGATTAGTGTTTCTTCTTATCCCTGAGTTGAAAGCCTGTATTACTCTTACATGAAAGGGTAATGCACCTGGCATTTCTGGTATGGCCCCAGCACATTCTCTACAGGTAAATGGAACTTGTTTTCGCTCCTTTGTTCGGGTGAATTTACCATTGCCATATGCTCTGAGGGAGACTGCCACAAAAGGGGTGGGTGTTCATCACAGACTGGGTAAATTGTCTCGGTGGGATCAGTCACAGTGCCTGCCTCCTACCACAACTTTCTTCAGCCAAAGCAAAGCCTGAGAATGAAGACTGTGACCTTGAGGATCGTGAAGGGCAATTCTGTTATCTGAATCTTTCTCTCATACTATTTTCTCAATGAACTTCTGAGGAGGTTTTGGTGAAAGCATATCTCAGCTGTGCTTCACAAATTCCACTGCTACCTGCTCATTTGAAATCATATTTTGCTATTTTTAAATCAGTTTTACTGGTTTGAAACCTGGCAATGTTGGGGATCACCTCAATGTTGAGAGCAGAGTTGCTCCACAGTGAGTATAAACACAGTGATGCAGGTTTAAGCTATTAAGCTGCTGAGAAGACAGAAACTGTGTGTGTTTACATACAAAATAAGTTGTACCTTTGAAGAATATATGGGGTGAAATCAATAAAGAAAACAAGTCATTGCAAGAAGAGGTTCATTTTTTTGCTGTTCATGGAAAAACAAGAAGGCATTTACCTTCTACTGGATTATAGTTCTTCCTGAATATGCAGTGCATCAGCTTGGCCTTGAATAGAAATGGCAACACTGTTCTGATTCCTCTACAGCTGGAAATCCTGCATTCCCATTGCTTTTGTTCTCTTATCCCTATGTGTGATCGTTCTTCAAACAAGTTATTCCTGTGCTGCAGAATTCCCATCTAAATGAGGGAGAAATTTAAAGAACCACAAAGCTGTCTTTTGTGGCTGCCACCATCTGCCATATGGATCAGCATATACAATTTGATAGTGAAGTGAGGTTCTTTAGTCACTACTTATATTTCATTTCTCTGCATTTGAAGAACAATTGGAAGAGGAATCTATTCCTTTTGGATGGAGCTCTGTTACTACTATATGGAATTAAAATGTGGCTGCATAGCAATGTAGACTCTGCTCCCTAGGGAGACAGGCAAGATGGTAGGAAAGCAGTTCTTTCAAACATGTTTTTTAAAAAAATTCAGGCAAGGCATCACTTGAAGACTCTCAAACCCCTTTCCTGATGAGAGTTTCATCATTCGCTCTTTTCAGAAAGGACAAAAGGAAACACATTCAAAAAGGATTCCTTTCAGGCAAACAAATATAAGCAATCTCTTCACCCCTTGTGTTTCTTCTGACTTTTGTGTTTGAGGCAAAGTGCAGTTATGTGCATTTCACTTCATATGTCTGCAAAATATGTGCCTAAGAAAGTAGCTTCTGCCATGTTGTAATTTTTTAATCCTATTATCCCAGTACTTCATATGCCTTAGATGGTCTCTCCCCCAGCAGCAAGGAATAGGGGAAGGAAAAAGATAGCAGAGGAGTATTTTAAACTAAGAACTACTGCTGAGAACTGCTCTTTCATTCACTGTATGTGCCAGTGTGACAGGTTTGACTTTAAGCCAGCATCTTATATTACATCCAAGTTGCTTAAACCTTCAAAGGATTTCAGCAGAATATAGTCTAGCATTGTTCTATGCTGAAGAAAATGGAGGACATATCTAGAAAATTAGGCAACCGGCTATCTTTTTAATTTTTTTTATAATGAATTCAGTTGTGCCATCACATAGAACTTCTGTAGGAAAGTCTTGTAAGACCTGCGAACTAACATCTCATAGTTCAGAGTGCAGACAAGCAATGGCTGAAAAAAGAGAAAGAAGGAAAAAAATAATTTTTGCTTAGAGCAGAAACAGTGTCCAGTACACTCTGCTCTGTTCTGCTCTTTTCACAGCAGCTCAGGTTAGCTGCTTTCCTTTTTTCGCAGATGAAATAACAGAGAGTTTCCAGGCTGTCTCTGGCAGGCACTTTTGGCTCCCTCCTACTGTCTGCAGTCTCACTGTCAGAACACTCAGGGAGCAGAGCCGTATGCTCCATAATTTATCTTTCTGCCCATCCCACGCTCGTATCGCTTTGCAGACGTGACAAGTGGTGGTAGCAGTATTAGAAAGCTGAGATTTTTTATTTTGAATGTGGATTTTTTTAGTTCATATTTTTTTTCCCAGGGAATGTTTATTCATCTCTCATTCCTTTACTTCAGTGGAAGAATGGAAATTTCCAGTGCCAAAGGAAAAAGGATTAGGAGTTGGTTTTAAACACAGGGGGAAAGGCAAGCTTCTGTGGCTTTGGTTTTTGCATCATTTAGAACTAAACTTCAGAATGTCATACAGGGAACGTCCCTGGAAACCTTCATCTGCAACCTATATCTCCACTGCGAAAATGATTCTATCTTCCAGTAAAATGACCCCACGTCCTCCTTTTGAATCTGCTGTGCAGGACAGGCCTTTGCAAAAGATGCCAGCATCAGCATGGCATCGTCCCACTGGTCAGTCAGTTGCAGAGCTTGCTCCAGGAAATGCCAACTCACCGCCACGCAGTGTGTCTTCCGGAGCTTACTGTTCAAGGCTAGATGTCATCCTGGCACACACAGACCAGACGAAAGGTTTTGGGAGCACTAGTCACTGTGTCAGTCCTTCTGATGAGACATCCACACGTTCCAGTGCTTGCAAGGACCCTCGGAGCCATGGATACAAGGCGTCTGGCATTCAGTCAACATCTGCATCTTACAAGCAATATTCAGAAAGAGAAAAAAGTGTTCATCGTACTTCTGAAAAAAGCAATCCCTTGAAGCTTGCTCTATCTTTGCCCTCTGATGTCCTTTCCTGCAAAGCTCCACCAAGCTGGACATCACGCCTAGATGTTGATCTGTCTGCTATTCCAGCTGTTTCTACATTCCACAGCAAAAATCTGCATGCATCCCTGGAACCTTGTGATTCTCTCCCATCCCAACAAGGCTGTAGCCAATGCAATGTCCATATGTCAGACCTCCACACTTCAATGAAGCTTTACATTTCAACGTGCAGCTTGATGATAAAGCCTTTTCGAGCAGATTCCTATGGAAGCAGTCATGCTCATTCAGGTCTGCTCATACCACAGCTAGAGAAGATGCCTGAAACTTCAGCTGATTTTCAAACAGGATACCAGAAACCAAAACAAGACTTCCCTGCAGGTGGATCTCCAGCCCTTCAAATCACAAGACTTCATGTGACTTCCTCTAAGTATCCTGGCCTTCCCCAGCAGTCTGTCTCCAGAGATATATGGCTGTCCTCAGCTATGCTGACTGGAAGAGGAAATTCAGCTAGTGGGAATGAGGTCATAAGCAAGGATTTAAATCCAGAGCTGATTGTCTTTCAGAATTATCCTTCATCTAGGCCAGA